TGCAGCTATTCGGAGGACGCACAAGGCCATATGTTACTCGCAAATGTGGGAAGTGAGTGAGAAGCATGCAAAATACTACTTACTCACCATGGGGTAGTCCGTTTCCGCTGAGGCAGAGTTTCCGAAACGGAGATATGCTGCGCAACAGAGTATCCAAAATGTGAACCTGGCGTTCCTACCTTAACTACAGGTATTCGAGGTTCTAAATTAAACGATAAAACTCCAGTTAACAACACCACTAACACCACCACAGGCGCAGCGAGAGACACGCTCGAGGAGCTCATGCTGACACACCCTCCTCGCGTCACAACTATACTCACACTGACCATCAAGATTCAAGAACGTTGCCGCCAGTTTCCGACGTTCTTCACACGCTTCTCAAAGGTACTGTAGGATTATCTTCAAGGCCAACGCTACGTCCGTTGTGCACTATCTTCAGCCACTATGCCAATGGCTCCAAAAATTGTTATGGGGGTCATGATTGACGGCCATCCCACACTTTGTTCATTTGGATATTTTCAATTATCACTTGTCCTGGCTGTGCAGGTTAGCACGGCGTGGCCTGGGCTTGTTAGTTCTTTAAATTTGAGAATCATGTTTCCCCAAATGTTGTCGTCCCCAGAGTCTCAAAAAATATAAAAAAAAGTAAGTAACAGACCACTTCAAACGCCGATTTAATATAGAACATAGTACTCCGGGTTTACCATCGTTCCTGAATAGGAGAAAAAACTATTCAGCCCATATATATTTGTGGCGCCAGGCACAAACTTTGACATATATATTATAAAATTACATTTTAACTTAACTGGACTGTCACAGAGTACTAGGATGATTAGTACTAGTCTTGGATTAGTACTAATACTTAGTGAATAATGGTAAAATAAAAAACGCAAAGCTTCGAAAATCACAAATAAAACGCTTTTGCACCATGACTTGAAGAAATTGGTGCCTAACATTTAACAGAAAATTATTTATGAACGACAGTCAACAAACATTGTGGTCCTCGTCATTCAAGATGAGAGAAAAAACACAAAAATGTTTCCCTGCATTAGTAGGTGCAATAGTGGTTGAATTAATACTAATTCAAACATGGGTGCAATGATCTTGTTTTGCGCAACACACCTTCTAGTAACTTGCTTCCTAGCTAAATACCGCCATTATTCAATCATGCTGCATGTTGAGCTCCAGAGATGCCAATAATGAAAAGAATATTGCAGAGATACGATGTAGCAGAGATGAGCAATATATGAAAAGATCTCTGCTTGATGTGCGAATATGCCCAGTCCAATTCAATCCATTCCCTCATTCCATGAAAAATCGTTTCAAAGCTCTCGGGGCGGATGCCGTCTCTATAAAAACTGGTCCTAATTTAGGGGTGGCTGAGATCAGAATATGCTGCAGTTGGAATACGAATATGGTCCATTTAACTAGTGAATTATAGTGAATACGTTATCCCGCTGTAGTTATTGCTCATCTTCAAAAAATTACGGCAACCATAATATTTGCACATCACCATTGTCAAAAACTTGGCTCGCTTAATTTTCTAATTAAAAATGCTCCCGGACACTTATCGCAATATTATTTAAAAATCGAAAATTATTTGCAATAAATGCGCTAAGATATGAATTAATTTTATTTATGTATGATATGGAAATGTTAACAGCATCCTGGCAGTACTACACGGTTGATTACAAAGCTGATCTGATCGCCAGTAAGCATCCATATTTGCAGCATCGGACACTTCGATCAACCATGTTTGCTGCTTTCACGCAAATAAGTTCGTATTTTGGATAGGTGTCAATAACTGTAAACTTATTTCCTCGAAATGCAAGCTACATAACTTGAGTACAGTTCGTATGGCCGTACTATCAAAAATAGTAACGAGTTACTAACTACATCAGTCCATTAACGACGGTTTTTCAAGCCGAGCTCATCCATCACATACGAGAAATGTGCCTCTACGTGAAGAAAGTTTTGATAGAACGGCTTTTGACGATAGAAACTACTGTCGTTGTTTTCGAGTTATCGCACTTTTTTATCCATAGAGAAAAAGTTAATAAAATTCAAAATAATTCTGTATTTCATTTCAATTGCCACATATCCTTTGGCAGTCTTCCATGCTTTATCGGGCTCGCCAAGCTCCCGCGTATCCACGTTAACCGCGTTGCTACGCCGCTAGCATTGTATCACACTTGCGTCTCGGCTTACTCTCTCGTTCCTATACACATTTGGACGTTTTGGTAGCAATGGAGAAAGAAAGAACAAAGCAGAAAGGATTAGGCTGTTGTCAAAAACTCATTCCTTCAGTGAGAGACCGATATTTAAGAAAATTGTTCGACATTAACGATGTTGATGCCAACGAAGTGCCGGCAAAGCCGTGATGTGATGCCTACCGTTTAACACGGTGATTTACTAAACTATTTGGTGGTCAGCCAATACACCTTGCAAGAATTCATGGCATACAAGACGCTTGAAGCTTACAAACAATTTGTGGATGGATGGGTACAGGCGATGGAGAAACGAAACTTCAACGAATCAAGTAAGGCGATGTACTTGGTAGAGTTAGTTTGGTAGTACAACTGGGCGAAGATAATGATGCTGATGAATGGAACCTTCTAAGAATGGAAAATGAAATTCCTTTTCACCTTGTTGAAGAGGAAAATGATGGAATTTTATCAATGCTTACCAGGTAACCAGGGTTCGGACGGCTCATAGTAATACCTATCCCGATATTGGACGCGTTCATGTGACACCGACCACAGAACTGACCAACAACACACCAATTCACCAGAAACCTCGACGTTTTGCAAATTATATTGAAATTGAAAGGCAATGTAAAGAACTCGAAACATGTGATGTTAAAGAACAAAGCGAATCATTTTGATCTTCCAACAAACCAGCCAACTACAACAACACTATCATCGCTGCAGGATAATGGATCATGACAATGTTATCTGACCTGTAAATATTATTACGTTTTATTCTTACCTATGTAGCTTATCTAAAGGCAAGTAACAGGTTTTGCCCCTGGAAAATGTATAGTATCGTATATAATAAATATTCACGGCTGGTAAACTAATATGCAATACGTACTATATCAGTACGAGCCATAAACTGATACGATATACACGGCATTCACGGCTAGTAAACTGAATAAACGCATTACATTGAATAGTTTTATGTTTAAATAGCCGTGAGAACGACTGGTACATCCTACAACGGTGCAGTAGCGTCCCATCTTCAAGTAAAAACTTCAAAAAGAAACGATCGCAGTAGAATTAACACGTACTCACGTAGGCGACAGCTAAACCCTGCTACAAATATGGCGGCCGATCCCACAATACATCTGGCGATTCAGTGCCGTGACGTCATCTATTCGGTGCCGTCTTGAACTATTCTATTAGCATAAAAGTTTATAGTTTTTAAACAAAGGCTTCATATCGAGAAGTGAATGAGAACATTTTCTTTGAATGAAGCGAAAATGGCGAGCGATGTTGCAGGTATTTAAATTTCAAATGAATAATTGCACATAAAATAAGTTTTAATGGAAAACACATACATCTCATCAATTCTTTTGCGGTTGTTGATTCTAAAACGTAAATTTGAAGACCTCCAAATCTATTTCCACAAACAAAATGTAAAAACGAACTGGAACTTCTTCTAGTAAAGCAGCATAAATGTTTTCCCAGATATAATTCCAGAACGTTTGAGAACATCAAATGTTATCTAAATAACGTCAATTCTACAGTAGTGACATCGCGCTGCTGACATCTAACCCCAATAATTTGAATAGCAGTCCTGAAGTACTGAGTTAACTTGAGTAGTTTTCGGCGCAACACTAAGTTTGGAAGTTCATGAGAAAGTTCTGCACATTTAAAATTGAACTTTTCCGTATATTGATTTCATCAAGTTCAAATAAGCGAGCTCTTGCCGCCAGCTGTAGGCGCTATAGTCGAGGCAACTCTCAACTCGTTCATATATTACATCATAAAATAACATCAATAATGTGAACAATATGTAGCATTAAATTATATCAAGTTAAACGGTTAAACTTGATTGATCACGATTGTAACTTGTAAGAGACGTGAAAAAAACGTGTAGGATCAATTAGAAACGATAGATAACCTGACAGTATTTATTGGAGTCCTACAGCGAGCCAAAGTATCACTAAACACGAACAAATTTGACCATAATGACAGTATTATTGAACATTCACACTCTAGTTTACCATACTAAACCCAAAATTTCCTTCGCAGCCAAAGAGCGACTCTTAACCTAAAGAATTTCCTTCTCGGCCGAAGGGCTGCTCCCTCGTAAATACTTATGAACAATGAAGAGCTCTACCGTTGGTCGCAACTTCACGGGCATGCAGTTGATGCATAAGATTTAAAGCATTAACTATATCGTAATCATTCAAGTATTTGAAGCGACTTGGCAAGTTTACGAAGAGGTGACGCAAAAATGCATGGAAAATTGATATTATAATATTAGTAAATACAAGGCAGAAGTATGAACGAGGATTTCATGCAAATAGAATAAAAAATCACGCTAGGTGCTTGTAGCGAACCTGAAAAACAAACTCGCATCAGGAAACACAGCAGAGAACCAGCCGATGATTCCTGCAAAATTTTCTACCTAAAACTCCAGAGAGAAACGTAACATAAAAAATTCAGAACTACACAAGTGATATATTGGTAGCGTAGTATAGTCTTCTCTTCTTTAGGATGTTTGGCCAGTCTATAGTCTATAGCAAAGTTGAAGCACTGAAGTGTCTAGCATCAAATTTTTGGGAAGAAATTTTAGACTTTCAGGATGCTTTAGAATCATGATAGTAGCCGACAGGAACATTTTACGATGCATGTCTCTTCTACACAGGGTGCTTTTTAGCGCATTTTCTCACCAATGGAAAAAATGCACTATTGTGCTCGCCATGTCCGTCTGTCAGTGACCTCAAGTTTTCGTCGACGAGAAAATGCGCTTTGTCACTCACTGCAGTGAGTACTGAGTTACATTTTTTTCATTTCAGTGAGGAAGTCTCATTTTTATTTTCGGGTGTGTGCTGCGTGCTTGGTCGATGCAAACTGTCCAACATGTAACAAAGCATACAAATATCAATTCATAACCAAGTGCGCTGAACCCGTGAGTGTTTAATATGTTGTTTCAGCACTAAATACTCCAAGAAAAATTTCCGTGATAGAATTAGAATTACACTTTTCTTCTGAGGTCCATGACGCGAAAAATCGTATAAAAAATGTAAAATACACACGAAAAAATTGCTAGCTGATCACATTCAAAGATACAGGCTACACCATGAGGCTGAAAAATCGACTTATGAACCTGCCACCAATAAATAAATACAAATACCATCAAAGTCTAGTCACACAGATCATGGAACGAGCCAGAAATTTCGTCAGAAAGGTCCAAAAACCCTCCTAAGACAATCACCATTCAAGTATCTCGTGTGAATGCGTTCAAGATATATCGCTCAGAAACTTGCAACGTCTCCGCAAGTATTATTCCATAGTTCTACTATCAAATTCAGATCTGGGAGACTGAATTAAATACTGAAAATTTTTTAGAAAATATCGACCAAATACTTTTTAAACTAATGAAATCTTGGACACTTAACTGGAAATTTAGATCGTGCAACAACACGTAAAAATTCCATTTTAAACTGCAAAATCAGTGACACTAAACTACTAATTCTAGATTTGGCCTGATAATATTCTGGTCACACTGTGGCATTGTTGCAAAATTTTTCTTGCTATAGGCAAAACTGCGTGACGGTAGACGAGCACTAGACGATAGAGAGCGGCTCTTCGTTGTCCAGACGAGGGTTGTACATGTCAGCCATGACGCGAGATGCCTGCGCGGGGGGCACAGCGCCCCTGTAACACATCAATATCTCATAAGTAAATAGCTCTGATAATTATTACAAATGACATAGTAAGTAAAATAATATTAAGTAGAATCATGTCAACACATCAATATCTCATAAGTAAATAGCTATGGTAATCATTATAAACGATATGGTGAGTAAAATAATATTAAGAGTAATCAAATCAACACATCTATTTATTATAAGCAAATATCTAAGGTAATAATGACAAACGAGAAAAGAATAATAATATTATTACTAACTGTACTTATATCAATAGTTTGCTCCAATTGAAAATTTGCAAATAGTTTTGAAGCAAGGAAAAAACAAGTAACTTCTGCTTAAGTAAATGAATGTACATGGCGTTTTCTATGCTTTCTCGGTAATTAACTAGAGTCGAGTAATGTTCTGCCTGCAGAGCCTACCATTCTGGATTTAGTTCAAGTTAATAGTAGATTATTTTAAACCAAGCACTCAGAAAATCAAACAGAAACCATGAGCAGTCTATTAATTTTATGTCAATTTCAAAGCCATAGTTGAAGAAATCAACAAAGGAGGCTCAGGAACAACATTGCACCTTCATTCATTTCTACACGGATAACATTATTAAAGCGGTTAACATTAACAATTAACAATTTGGGAATTAACAATTCAATTTCCATAGGAACATAGGAATTAAATAGCCATTTATAGTTTATATGCTGACGTGTTGGTGATGTGCTTGCAGACGTCGGTGCAGTCTGTGAGGTCAAACTTCTTGAGGAAGGAGCCAAAGTTGCTGCTGTAGCCCACGGAGTCAACCTCGAGTGGATCTAAATCCAGGTTCACGTTACTCACCAGGGATGGCGTGAACTGGTAATTGGCAGCTATCACATAAACCTGAAAAAAGACACATGTAATCCTATTTTGCTCAACATAAACCTTACATTCACCATCATCCATTCTCGACGTCGGTCCAGTCATTTAACACGTTGACTACGTATTGGTACATATGCGTACCACGAAATGTATTTCTCCAGGAGGTAGTGCTACATAATTCAGGTTGCCTAAAATCGACCAAATCCAAGAACAAAAAAGGCCAAAAAAGGCCGATAATTCAATGTATACTAGTTTATTTGTAGGTTCCGCTAAAAAAATTCAATTTATTTTCTTTTTGCAGTATTTAAAATTTAATTAGGAAGTACCCCTATCATAAATATTAGCCGGCCAACGCAATTGAGAAAAACTAAATCACGGAATTTGTCCGGGAAAAATGACCGTCTGGCAACCCTGCTTAAAAAAAGTACAAAAAATGAAATAATAGTATACAAGATGAAACAATCGTAGTCAACGTGTTAACTGAAAACGAGCATATGGTCTCACAAATTTTTCATTGAAACTTCAAATAAAAAATGCACTTTCAATACGAAAAATACGCTTTCAGACAATCAAAAAATGTGCTATCGACCGTGTCTAACCGTGTAATTTTGATTGCTTTCACCTCTTTTTTGTCAGTCATGGCGACGTGCGAGATGACTCCCCCAAAAGAGAGGGTTTTGACGCTGCCGTCAGCGAGGATAGCGCTGCAGGGCATTATCACCTTCGTCATCTTGGGCATGAGGGCGCCCACGTTGCAGTCTGGGATGAGGATCGTGTTCACTTCGCTGCCCCTGAGATCGTCCAGGAGAAGGTGCCCCTGCAGCACGAGCAGAACAAATCAACTTCGGTACACGTACAAGAGAGGTTTAGGTTAGAGCCTTCAAGCTTATACATTGGCCAGCAATTAATAGAATTCAATTCAGTTCTTTCACTTACCCATGACAAGCTCACAGTGTTAAATTTAATAGGGATCAAGTTCTCATTAATTTTGATTCCCATGACAATATTGGATTTTCAAATAATTTGAAAGATCCTAAGACTTGATTTTGAAGAGATGAAAAATAATCTCACTTGATTGAAGTCAAAAAATTGAACTAACATAGCATAGTGGCTGGGACTCGACGACATAGAGCGTGTAATTGCAGTGACGTGCGGCGTTGATGAAGAGCTGGGCGGTAATTGGGCAGTAAGAGTGAGTCATGACAACATCATCCTCGACAATGATGTTCTTGGCCTGGTTCACGATCAGGGTAGGACTGTGGGAGTGGATATACGGTATTACAGCAAGACTGTGCAATATTACCAATCAATTACATTAAGATTGATAATTAATATAGAAACTACCATCATTATCAGTGTCACCGGCCACTGGCGGCCAGAGCTACTACAAGCCAATCTAAACGTTAGGCCTGTAATTCACTATCAGGATCGACTGCTCATCGCTCATAGGCCAGGACAATATGTGAATAAATTCTAGGCTACTGTGCTCATTCATCTAACCGACAATGCCGTTCAACTCTCCTAGTCATCGTCAGTAGAAGCCGGTTCAGTGGCTGTGGTATATAATCACGACAAAGCACACAATAGTTTATTGAATCACTTTGTTTAAAATCAGTAAAACGTGGTAAAGGGCAAGCATAAATTCCGACTAAAATCACTATTCTAAGAGACGTTCAAATTGGTTCAATTCCATTTACTATTGCACAGCATTAATGCACGTAGTTAAGGTTACATTTATTCACATAGGCGATCGATAGCAGGTAACAACTAAATCCTCACGGCACAGCCACAACTTCAGCGTTAAGCACAGAATGCTGAGAGTTAACAGAGCTGAGCGGGTTCAGGTATGAACCTCACTGTAGGGCTGGCGGGACACAACACGACTAACTAACTACCTGACGCACAGCTGCTCAGACCTGACCTAGTACTACACAGTTCCAACTGCTATAGGTCTGACTCACATGTCACTGGCGCAGCTTCGCCAGACGTAATAGAATACTTTCGCCAGAATGAACAAAATGCTTAAGAACAAATGATTGCATCAATCGAATAATTAGTGAACAATGTTCATCGTTCACATCAGTATACATCTTCAGTACGATCCAGCATAAGCAAAAATCAGAGGAAGCAACAACTACTATTAGACATTAATTTCAAACACAAATCTCTTCAGGGAAAATAACATCGATAAGAACATTAATTAATAACCATTGGGTTTCATAACCCAGAGAAGTAGGTACTGTAAAAGATCAAAGGTTCAGCAGCACATAGCTATAAAGCAACCTCACTTAAAAAAAAAAACACAATTCAACCACATTCAGCAAACAGGGGAAGAATATATAGTGATTATTTTGTTATAAAAAATATTGATCACCCAAAAGGGGCGGTAGGGTTCTAATGACTAGAGCTCAGAAGTCAGAAGCAGTTGAGAAAGAAAGTAGCATTAGTATTTCTGAGACATTCAAAAGAAAGGAGAGATAAGTGAACAGCAAATAAGAATTGCATTCAAGAGTTTAACAATATTCCACGAGTTGTTGGCCATTCAAACAAGAAACAGAGAGGGGGAAATACACAAGCCCTACCAGCATAATAATATCATTCCACAATAAAGGCCCACAGGCAGATGTCATGAGTACTGTGGTGGGGGGCTTAGGAACAACGTCTCTTAGCCCCATGAAACCAAACAACCCTGCTTGAAAGCAATGACCTAGTTCTAAAGATCTTGGGGTGACTGAAGAACAAATTTAATTACAATGACTTGAAGAGGTTAGGTCGTCCAGTAGAATTATGACCACATTTATTGAACTTTAGGAGTATTTACACAAACGGTAGACAATACCCACATGTTCTCAAGCTCCATCTTGTACTCCATCATGAGCGCCAAGACGTTTTCCTTGACTTTCTGTGCCAGGTCTACAGTGTTGACAGAATCTGGTAGCGTTGGCAACTGTGCAGCATCTAGGCTGATGACATCATTCAGCACAGAGATGGACTTCATGAAATTTGAAGTTGAAGACACTTTCGATAGGGCCATTATATCTTTTGCAGCTTCCCTGAACTCATCCAGAATTATCTGAATAAAAATTGATCCATAGATGCATTTAAATAAGCACTTATGGCACATATTTTTCTTTCCTGTTTAAATTGACAGATTATGGAAACATTAAAATTTTTAATAATTCCCAGGTGACCAGGAAAAAACAAATAATTTAGACACACAAATTTCATCAGAAATGGTAATTTCTAAAATTCAAAAGCAGCACATTTGACATTTATAAATATTTACAAGAGGTTGATGAAATAAAATTTTATCAAGTTACCTTTCTGAGTTTGAGGATGACATTTCTTGATGTTGTGTCATAAGGAACCTTGGCAGTAATTTCAGCATAGATGGTCATGATTCGGTCTATCATCTCTCTGCAATACAAGTACTGTAATGAGCAAAGGATTACACGCACAAGAAGGAAACACACAATTTGATTGATTCATCTTGTTCATGCATAGTTTTAATTGGAATTCAAATGAAAACTGGGTGAACTTCATAGCAGCTCAAGATAGCAGTTTGTATTTCCTCAATATTGTGGTTGTGTATCAAATATAATCCAATATCAAGCTATCAGGAGCATCAACAGGAAAGAAGTGTAAGCCATTATGAAAATGTTCATGGTCAGGTCACCTTCATTATGCATTTGAGGCACCTAGCGTCCCAACATATGATATATCCATAATTATTTGATGAAAATTTGTTAACTACAAAAATTAAGGGGACTGGCCGGGTCTTGGAAAAACTTCTACATTTATCAACCAATCTTTCTAAAATTCCACACACATACGTAATAGGTAAAATAAAAAATCATTTGCTCATATGAATTTTTCCAAGAAATAAAAGAAAACATGAAATTTGTAGAAAATAGCAAAAAGGGGGTACTAAAGAAATCTATCTCCTCCTAGGATTTTCAAGCTACAACATCAAGAGACATTTTATTCGATTTGTAACAAAATTATCAAGCGGCTCTAGAGTCCTGATTTTCAATTTTTCCCATCATTTTGTTTTTATGCGTGTTTTTCCATTTGTGCACGTTTGTCCCTCCCCAACCCCCCCCCTCTCTCCATATATACGGTACCTAAGTCAAACCATGCACAAATCCAAAAAATGGGCTCCTAGAGTTGCTAGGTATGGTCTTTACAAATTGAATGATATGCCTTTCATTGCTGTAGCTTGAATACTGTAGGAGTTATATAGTTTTAGAGATGGTGTTTTTTGGATATTTAACACGTTAACCGCCAGCATGCAATATTGGAACTTCCCCCTAGCGCCAAGACTTCTAGGCACTAAAATGTCTCAGTTGGTCAGGAACAGCTGCAAGGGAAGGTGTGTATGTGTTATACTCTCTGTCTAGTTTCTTCTAGAACAGAGTAAACCATGAGACACATGTGGTACATAAGGATGTTCACTAAATCTTCATTTTTCTCCAGCGCCATGTGCGCCACCGGTGGTACAAGAGATTATGGTACACCGGAGGCTTATATTGCAACAATAGAAACAATACACATTGGATATCGTAATTATTTGGCCACTGGTGGTTATGGTTTAGAGCTCTCAAAAAATATTTTTTATATTGTACGTAGTTTGTAGTTATGATTTTCATTTGTTAGTTTGTTATTTATAATAATACAAAGACTTATTACATACGTTTATTTCTTTATTTCATTCCCTACTCCTAATTGCTCAGCATTACGATAACAAATTTCAAACCAAGAAACCCTTGTCGGTGAAAGGATTCTTAGAATCTATTGCTCACTCACTCATAACAGGAAACTTGAACAAAATGAACGCAGGACAAGAACCAGCGGTTATAGGTGGGAAAAGAAACTCTCATTACCTTGTTGAGTTGGAGGGTCAATGTTGGAATGTAAGAAAAAAGATGTAGAGGGTTTTATGAGTGCTGTCATAAAATGAAGGCTGCTCAATTGCAGCTGCAAAAGCAAGAAGAGTGAAAACAGTCTGCCTTCAATGTGAAAATAAGCCACATATATGCCCTGGTTGTTTTGAACGAACCCTCTCTCATATGTAATGTCCGATGTCTAATGCTAATGTTGGTTCATGGATAATTTTCCAAAAGGTAATTTCACTAATTATGATCACCAATTTATGCAGATTATTTGTTTTATTTGAAGAATTTCCTTTTTTACCATTGAATTTTATGTTTGAGGAAGAGTCTGATTTACGGAACAAAATTTTAGTTATATTTCATTTGAAATTTTTATGAAACTATTTTTTTGAATAGTTATGCTAATAAATAAATAAATTACGACACTTGTTTTGATAATATATCCTTCTAGCCATCAAAAATGAGTGAAAAACAAATTTGAAAATAAATTTGTAAATGATCCACCGGTGGTACATATGGCGTTCATTGACAGCTTGTTTTGTGCCACCGGTGGTACATGTGGCGGTTAACGTGTTAAATTGTTCAGGGGAGCCAAATAAAGTAAAATTTACTGAAAAAAAATATGCCCAAAAAATTCTTGATATTGTAGCCCAAGCTTCCTCATTGCCAATTATTTGCATTTAGGGTACCAGCACGCGTCATCAGACTTATTCTTGTCAAGTTTAACGCAAATAATAAGCTATAAATGAGACTTTATTATATTTATATACTACTATTATAAATATTCATTTTATACAAGTTTTAAACTGCATTACTCAATAATTATTGCATGTACATCCGTGATATTAGCTTCATGAATGCACATCGTTTGTAGCTTTCAAATGAGTGATAACACTTTACAATTAATGCAAATAATGATCCAAAAATAGCATTTTTCAATTAAATTTGTAAATATTGTTATAAAATGGTCATTTATACAAGTTAAAAACTGCATCATGCAGAAATTATTGCATGTAATCCATGGTAGTAGCTTTGTAGTCTGTCTGCTACAAATCTTATAATCAATATTTAACACACTTCTACCTGTCCAATCGATCTGAAATTTGGCACACTTGCATAAAGTTGGAGACAATGCATGAATCAATTGACAGAGTTAATAATTTTATAATATTTTTTTTCATTATTAAAAAATTAAAAAAAAATTTTGTCTGCTAAATCTAATAATCCATATATGACACAATTTGACCTGTCCAATTGATCTGAAATTTTGCACAATTGCATAAAGTCAGAGACAATGCATGAATCAATTGACAGAATAAATAATTTTGAAAATTTACAATATTTTGATATCCTGAAAAGATTTTGAAAAATAAAATTTTTTAATATATGAAAACAAAATTAGAAATTCATTGTACATGTGTAACATCCAAGACACCGGATTGTTCAGAAGTGTTGTCTTTAAAAAGTAATTTTTAAGCGCATATTATTTTTAAAATTGCTTTATGCAAAAACTAGAGCACCGGATTTGTTGCATTAGATGCGCTTTTCAGCAGCTACAAAATGAGCCAAAGAAACGGAGAAGCCAAAATTTTCAATTTTTTCACCTGGCTGGTCCCCTTAAAGAGAAATATGGTTTTTGATGGACCACCTCATCAATTCTAGGATCTTGTGAAACTATTATCAAGATTAATTGATTAAAACAAAATAAAAGGCAATTGAGCTAGGAGGCAGAAGTTTACACAACACTAATTACAGGAAATTACACCAACCTGGGACTCTTCCATTGTTTTTCTTCCGATATGACACCTCTGATAAGGTCAAATGTAGCCAATGCTTTGTCGTGCTCTGAGACATAATAGCTGTGGGAAATAAATTTTATTGACAGTATTTCTTGATCACTCCCAATTACAAATACCTCTAAAAAGAATAATGATACTAAATTATTACCACTGCAACACAATGAAAGTAAAAAAAGTAATGAATAATTTATGCATTACTACAAGGCATTCATCATAGTCACAAATTTAATATACTACAGCTTTCAAGATTTTAATAGTGTATCTATACATTTATGGAGACAAAATGAAAGCTGCAAGCATGATACAATTTTTAGTTAGGAAGCTAAATTATACAAAATTCAAAATATGTTAGGTGAATTAATATATTAATTAATAACAAAGTTAAATTAGTGTTAAACATAATGTTTAAGAAGGGCTAAAATGAAATAATTATAAAAATTGATCAAGATTCTTCCTCTAGCAATGATGACAAAAATTGCTGAAATATGTAGCGCCCAAGAATTTAGACAAAATTGGAAAACTCTTTAAATTGATTTTTACACAATGGAGATATTTGTTTGGCAATATTTTGATTTTATTAAATTATAATAGGTTTTGAATGACTATAGAATGAGTTGGAGGGCCTAGTAATGTATAGATACTTTTATAATGATAGCTTTTTATATCTCAAATTGGCATGGGTTGTTTTTACAGTCAGTAACTAGGTATATAAGAACTTATTCAAATACATTCTTTTTATATACCATAGAGGCAAAAATCACGCAGTAAAGATAACACAAACACAAATTTTCTTCATACTTAGATTAAAACTTACATGGAGTCAATTAAGTTCAATACGGTGTCCATTTCTTCTTCCACGGACCACTGAGACTTCTGAGGGGCATTATCCAGCTCAAGAGGCATGATAGGTAATTTTTGATGAGTACTACTTGATTTAATTGAATTCTCTAAATTGGTATTTTGAATATGTGGACTATCTGTGGAACTTGGTGTTTCTTTCTTAGAACCAATTACAACTTTAGTATCTACCTTGACTCTATCATCAATGGATAATCTTTCCATTGATTTATCAAGTGCAGCCACTCCTGATGAGGTTTCACCCAGTTTTGGAGAGGGGACACAGTCTGATGCTGCTGGTGTATATTGTGAATTGGAAGATGCTATAACTCCTTTATTACTTGTGATAGAAACACTTTTCTTTTCAGAACTTGAACCTGCAGTTGCAGGTGATGACTTTGAAGGCATTCCAGATTTCTTGGGAGAGTTTTTGGGGCTTTTTTTACCCATTTTGATACCAAGTAATCACTGAAAATTGCTGATATAAAGAACATAGACATTACATTTCCAAGTGCCAACAATGCAATAGGAAATCCTCATTAAATCCTAGGTGTACTTTTTGTACTAACAGTACTAGCAGTCTAGCAGCTGCAGGTTTACCCTTCATTAGTCATTACCTTTACCCAAGCTTCATAATCCCATTAATCCCTTCTGTATAATTTTAAAATTTAAAAATACAATTTTCATGCTGCCACTCTAAATGACCATGTACCTATGTAATTGAGGAGTGCAGTGGTGAAAAATGGGAGTGTGTTTCAATACAAGCAGGCCAGAAGCAGCGGCAGTGCGCTTGTCCCACTACAATAGGAGTGCTCTAGTAAGAATGAGCTGGCAGCTGCAGCAGCGCAATTGTTCTGCTCCTATTGTAGCAGGACAACTCACAACTGGACAAGTGTACTGGCTGCTACTGCTGGAGCTGCAGCTCTCCAACCATCCTGGTGGATCTAAATGACCAATGACCAATTATTCCCAAGAATTCCATGATGTACACAGTACAATTATCATGAATCTTATGATTTTTGCTTTCCCTAATTTAAAAAAAATAATACAGCTAAACTACTAGAGTCTAGAGTGTATTAATTAATTAGGAAAGAAAACCATTCAAACAGACAAAAAAAACTTTCTCGGCAATATTTAAAATTGTGCAAATTTTAAAATGTCATTATAAAGGCTATCCACTAATTAGCAACTATTAAACTTCCCTACTCCCTAGGGCCTAGAATAAAATATCATCAAGTCATTATTAACCATTGCCTGAGTAATGTTAATCTAACAGAAACGTCTCTTCCTCATAGCTCAGACTTCCTGCATTTGAAAAAGTATGGACACATTGGAGTTTGGACAGACCATCACAAGTTCACAACTGGCCCACATTATAATCCACTTAATCTGTCATGATAAGCTAATCACAGATGTGCATAGCATGATAGCAGTATCAGACTAGCAGCAAACTGCAAAACAGATTTTTTACTATCAGTTCATAGTTCATTTACTTCATTAACTTCATTTCTTATTTCCTCTGATAAAATTCCTCATTACCTACTCAAGATTTAAACCAATACTGGCAATAGCCTATCTAAATATGTTGTGCTTGTGCAGTATGACAATGCTGGTATCTGAGTTGTAATGTGGTATGAGTGGTAGCTAGCTTAGCCTAGCTATCCTGCCCACTCGTGAGTGCCCAGTAGGCCTATCCACTATCCACAATACCTTGCGCTTGTTTGTCTGGTGACTCTGGTCTACTTATGCTTATGGAAGTTATGGTTTATAATAGGACTCAACATCACAACAATCACATCATGAATATCATAATAAGGGGCTTGTAGAAGTTGAAGAGTCTAAAAAACTTGACCACTAACCCGTATGCAGAATTGATTACAATTTATATTTTACAATATTTCAAAATAGCTGTCTTAGTGTGTGTCTAGCTTCTAAAAAGGTCCATTCATTCATCACTCATATTAAAAAGCAGTTGAAGGCGAACTACGAAGTACCTACAAGCTACAAGGCTACAAGTGTGAACAATACAACCGCCGACCTACGAAACGAATTAACAAAGAGATCACTATTCCATTCCTCGCCTCGTGTCTCATCAATACATGACGAGCCAATTTAAATTATTAGTGTTTAAAACCCAAGCTCTTACTAGCTGATCAGCCTGAAGTTCTGAACTGACTGGTATAAACTATAAATCATTATTCAACTCCTCAGCAGTTTTATTCAACTACCTAAGAATATTCAGCAGCGCACTTTTTCGTCAACACCAATGAGCAGCCGGATCCGTGGAAAGTGAATGTTGCTGTGCGTAAAGGTCTTTGTAGCAGTGTTGCCAGGTTTTTTCTCTGTGAGAATACCAGATTGCCTAGCTCAAAATACCAGAAATATACCAGAAANAGGGTTGGCCAGAAGCTGATGTTGACGCCGTGCAGTCGCAAACCAAACAAAGTCGGTTTTTGATGCATAGAGCTCGAGCCAGTTGGAGCGCATCCAGTCAGACAGCGTCCATGCAAGCCGACATTCGATCCTGCATATCTGCGGCGTCAGCCAGTGCACCGTAGCCATAAATTTGGGTGTCGTCCGGCGAACATATGCGGATTCAAACTATGTGAATCAATTATATGCAATTATTATGTATACACTTCACATCTGGTAAGTGCATCTCTCTAAAACGTCTCGAGTAAAGTATGTAAAATATTGGAGGGCGGAAATATATGTTATTAAAAATACTTACAGGGTTCAATTTACTTCTTATTTTGTAGGTGGGGCAGTACAAATCATTAACCTCACCTGATCGTTCAAGGTTCCCATTGTTTTTATTTCGATGGGCTTTTCTTCATCGAAGACCCACAGGAGGAAGTTGATGGCGTAGATCCCGAGGTCTATCACACATCCTCCGCCGAGTTCTTTTTCTCTGAAATCGCACGAATTATTGATTGCACTTTCACATTTTCATGTGAGAAAATATTACAACAAGATGTGTATAAGAGACAGATTTATGGCTGGTTGAGTTGAAGGTGAAGTTAGGTTTTGTAATCGAGTACGCAGGCCAGTTCGCAGGCGAGTTCGCTGAAGTGTTGATTCGGTTTTAGTAGGGAAAAGAAAGGGAAACCAAGCCAGGTGGAAGCAACATGAAAGTAGAGGCTAGATGGGTGTAAAAGTTTGTGTTAAAGAGTGAGATGAAGAAAAAATAAGGGGAAGAGTAATTCAAGAGGAAATTTTATTTGGTTTATTGTTGTTATATGCCATTAATTGCACTGTATAGTTTACATCTATATTAGATATGGGACCTCTTAGGCCCGGAATGACTATTTGAGCTCTATTAAAATATTATTAATGCAGTTATTCTTATTTTGTTAATGTTTTTTACAACACTCCTCTTTAACTTCACTTCTTGTTTGTCTGTCTGCTATAAATCTTGTAATCGAAATTTAACACACTTCTACTTATCATATCGATCTGAAATTTTGCACACTTGCGTAAAGTTGGAGACAATGCATGAATCAAATGACAAAATAAATAATTTTAGGAATACGATTTTTTTATATTAAAAAAACTGAAAAATAATTTTGTCACCTACAAATCTTATAATTGACATTTTACACACTTTTACCTGTCCAATTGATATGAAATTTTGCTGACTTGTGTGAAGTTGGAGGCAATGCATGAATCAATTGACAGAATAAATAATTTTGAAAAACATTTTTATATATTAAAAAATTGAAAAATTAATTTTTTTAATATGCGAAAATAAAATTAGAAATTCATTGTACATCTGTAACATTGGAAACACTGAATTCTTTTAAAGTGTTGTCTTTAAAAAGTAATTTTTAAACGTATATTATTTTCCTTTCACCCCCGGCCTCCACTCTTGTCAGCCTCCTCCTCTCCCTAACCCTCCATGCACTCCCCAAATATTGCTTTCCGCTCTCAGTCGTAGCAGCAGTCACCCCTGTAGACACACCCACTATCATTGCAATCCACTCGTCTCCTGTTCGCTCATACATCACACCATCACCCTCATCCAGTATTACTCTCATCATTTCCAGTCTCACCCTCTCATATGCATCACACTCCATCATCGAATGCTCCACAGTTTCCCTCTCCCCGCTGTCATACATAAAACAAATATCCTCTCTTCTTTCATTCCACCTGTATGTCCGTGCATTCACTCTTAAATTATTTGCTCTCACACAGAACATTAGTTCTCCACCNGATGTGTATAAGAGACAGGCTATCTACTAAGCGCCGCGCTTGTGTTGCATGAGGCATGGCCCCTGTCAATCGCTAGCTCGTCAATCGGTCAAGAAGCGCATGCAGAGGCTGCAAAGCGCCTCTGCATGCGCTTCGAGGCACTTGATTCTCGTGTGTTGCCCCTAGTGTGAACGGGCCTTTAGAGCTAGAAGACGCAGACTACGCTTTAACTCCGCAATCCAGACAAGCGACACACTGCCGAAAGATAATAGCGCCGTAGGTCTTCAGCCAATGCTTCGCATGCTCGCTCATATGCAGGCACGGGTACTACAGCGTTCAGCACCCAACGTTCATTAAGGCCACTACAACGCGACTAGGGGTCACTCCATGAAGCCGTATAAGAGCAAATATCGGCTTAACGTGAGAGGAAACTTCATTTCGCACAGGATTGTCGACTCGTGGAACGACCTGCTCTATAGTGTGGTCTTGGCTACATCTGTGAACTCTTTTAAAAACTTACTTGACCATCACTGGAGGGACCTGCCATCACTATATAAGCCAGAATGCCAGAATTAGGGTCCTGCATTGAATTGGGTTGGCTTCGACTTTGGAGAGATGAACAGGCCTTGCTAGAGGCCTCAACCATCCGACGAGTTCAAGTTCAAGTTCCTCATCCGGCGGTACCTACTCTGGCCTAACCTATTCACGCTGTCCCGGCTCACAACCTTCTTGCAACCAATGACTGGCTCTACCAGCACACTTGGACCGCCTTTCTAAATTCCTACAGCCAATGAGGTCAAGTTAGGTCTGCTCAGGTTGGGTTTGGGTGGCGAAATGTTGCAACTTGTGTATGTTAGGCCTGAAGAGGTTAGGCTGGAAGAAGTTTGGCCAGATGCAGTATGGCCATGCTAACCTACAGCAAGCTAAGTTTGTGGTGTGGACATCCGGCGCTATGGCTTTAAGCACTTGAGTGATCATAGGCTGTTATGCCCTCTAGCATTCTTATGTGCGGAAAGAAATATGAAACAAGTGTGAAGTTTGGCAAAACTGGCCTCCGGCATGCACCCCATTATTATTATTATTCCAAGAAGCATTTTATCTGGCGTCTGATTCAAACGAACTTCTAGGGCACGTCACACATAAGATTAATAGCATTAGAAAAACAAATAGACACAACAATTAAAGGATGGGAACGGATAAAATGACTAAGCACTAGATTCTTAGGCTTTACGAAGTAGTTCCGTCTTTAGGCGTCGACGAAACACTTGCAACGAAGGAGCCGAAATTACGGAAGCCGGCAGACTGTTCCAGTTTCTGGCGGCGGCGACCGGGAACGCTCTATCGCAGACGGTAGATGGTACGACGAAGTCCGCTGTTAATGACGAACGCAATCGTCTTCTAGAAGGCAGATTCGACGCACGGTGCAGACATTCCGTGAGATAAGTAGTAGTAACTGAATATGTTTCTTCTGTGCAGTACATCCGCGGTAGTAACAATATTGTCGCTGACGCTCTGTCACGTCCTGTCTGTGCCATTCAAACTGACGTTTTCGATCTTCCAGGTATTGCTAAAGCCCAGGTGAATAATCCTCAGCTTACGCACTACCAAGAACGATTAACCCCTTTTCCTCTCCCTGACAAATCTACCTTGTGGTGTGACACGTCAACTCAATTCCCTCGTCCTTTCGTACCTACCCCTCTTCGGTCTAATGTCATTGCCTTTCTAGACAATCTGTACCGCCCCGGATTTAAGAACACTAGTAAATTAGTAAAACACATCTACTTCTGGCCACAAATGGACACCGATATCAAAACTTTTGTCAGGTTCTGTGACGCTTGTTAACAAACCAAAGTGCATCGTCTCACACGCTCTCCTGTCACTCCTATAACTGCTCCCTCTGATCGCTTCCAGACCGTACACATCGACATTGTCGGACCCTTACCCCCAGCTTCTCTCCCGACAGAACCTAACCCTCTCCCTTACAAATATCTTTTGACGTGCATTGACCGAGCCACACGCTGGACTGAAGCCATTCCTCTTATTGACACTACCACTCCTTCCATTGCTATTGCCTCTGTTTGTGGTTGGATTGCAAGGTTCGGTGTTCCACTTTCTGTCATCACTGATCGCGGTTCTCAATTCGAGAGCGAACTTTTTGCCAACCTATCTTCGCTACTAGGGTTTCATCATATTCGCACAACGGCCTATCATCCCCAGTCAAACGGGATGATAGAAAGACATCACCGATGTCTAAAAGCCGCTATAATGGCTCGCCGTTCCAACTGGTTTTATTCTCTTCCTATCGTCCTTCTTGGTTTTCGCATGACTCCAACTGCTAGTGGTTTCTCTCCCTTTACTGCTGTCACCGGTACCTATATGCTGTGCCCTCGCCAAACTCTAACCCCTGACACTAATAACCATACAAATACGGAGTCAATAAACACCTTGGTACACGAAATGGGGAAGATTAATTTCCATAAATTTGCTGACGGAGACTGCCATTCCCTTCCTCCAGCTAGTATCCCTGTCGATCTCCAGTCCGCACAAAAAGTGTGGTTGCGAATTGACCGCGTCCGCAAACCATTAGAAGCGCCTTATCAGGGCCCATTCAAAGTAATTCGTCGTGAGCCAAAGCTTTTCGTTCTTGACCTGCCACAAGGCGAAACGTCAGTTTCTATTGATAGGCTAAAACCTGCTCGATTGCCTCCTTCCTCTCCTCCCCTAACCGCAACTCCTACTTCTACTACTACTTCTACACCTGTAACTCCTCCACCTCCTTCTCTTACTCCTACAACCCCTTCTACGCCTGTAACCCCTCCCATTCCCCACCCACGAACGATCCACGGTCCGCCTACCAGAGGGTCGCAGCAGCCCTCAGTACCTCCTGATGTATCGTTAACCCCTTCCGCTGACCCACCGTCGGCCGTACCTGCACCTAGATCCACCCGTGCGGGTCGCGTTGTTAGATTTAAGCAACATGTAGACTACCAATATTATTAGAGAACCTTCAATGTATTAGAGTACCAGTACTTGGTTTTACTCAACTATGGACACTCCGTGCTTGGCCGGGAGTCCTGTAGTGACTAGATAATATTATAGTGTATAATCTCCAAGCTGAGATATTATAATTTCTTTGAGATTAATAGTTGTAAAGCTGTACCTTGTCGCATAGTTAATACCGTAATAACTAAAATAAATAATCACCTTTGTAAGCCAGTTAATCATGGCCAGTTCAGAACTATAAAAATGTTCCGATGATTGTACAATAGTTTAAGCCCTAATAATGTTAAATAATATTATTCTGTAAGTCATAGAATACGTGTAAGCTAAAAATCTCCTTCACACGAATCTGGCAACATCGCCGCCGAGCTGGAGAACCATACGAGCTCATTTGGAAATAAAACGCGCTGCCGTTCGGTGTTCGTGTTTCCAAAGATACTCTAGGCTAACTTGCAAATTACCCCTGGGTCTCTAACGGATTTCATACATGAAGAGAATTGACCTCACGTTGTTCACCAAGTTGCAAAGTGTGGCTGAATTTGAATAATAAACCGGAAAAACCAGACTGTCTTCATATCCACCAACCTTCTGAATTCCTCCGGTTACCCCGACACGCCTTTACCTATATTGTTACCAAATGAACGATTACCCATCATTCCCCTCAAACTCGTTGCCCACGCGAACAGGGTTGGCCAGAAGCTGATGTTGACGCCGAGCAATCGCAAACCAAACAAAGTTGATTTTTGATGCATTGAGCTCGAGCCAGTTGGAGCGCATCCAGTCAGACAGCGTCCATGCAAGCAGACATTCGATCCTGCATATCTGCGGCGTCAGCCAGTGCACAGTAGCCATAAATTTGGGTGTCGTCAGGCGAACATATGCGGATTCAAACTATGTGAATCGATTATATGCAATTATTCTGTATACACTTCACATCTGGTAAGTGCATCTCTGTAAAACGTCTCGAGTAAAGTATGTAAAATATTGGAGGGCCGAAATATATGTTATTAAAAATACTTACAGGGTTCAATTTACTTCTTATTTTGCAGGTGGGGCAGTACAAATCATTAACCTCACCTGATCGTTCAAGTTTCCCATTGTTTTTATTTCGATGGGCTTTTCTTCATCGAAGACCCACAGGAGGAAGTTGATGGCGTAGATCCCGAGGTCTAACACACACCCTCCGCCGAGTTCTTTTTCTCTGAAATCGCACGAATTATTGATTGCACTTTCACATTTTCATGTGAGAAAATATTACAACATATATACAAAAAAATACTTTAATAAATGTATTCTAATGCCTAAGGTATTAAAAAATTGGTTCGATAAAATACACTATTTTTTCAGAATAAGTCTCACTTGAGCCTCGACACATCGTATAAATTTTCATGTGACGAATTCACAACCTTGAAAAAACGAAAAAGTTCATCTAAATTCTAAAGGTATCCCTATGTCTAAGTTATTACAAAATTGACTCGAAGTTATACGCTACAAGTGCTTGTACACGAGGACAGTAGTGGCGGCTAGTACAACTTTCATATGCTAACAGCCAGTAATTATCAAGCTACTGGCCTCGTGTAAAGGGTTACTGGGTCTTCCATAGGCAGTAGCGCCTAAACACGAGGACAGTAGCGCAGTAAATAGTGGCGGTTAGTACTTTACAAGAACGTTGTATTTACCGTCACTACTTTCCCCTACCTCTAATTTCGACATCAAGTCTCACTTGAGCCTCGGAACGTCGGCAATCGGCAGTCCGAAGGAAACGAAGGCGTGCATGACTTGTCCGATCTCCTGGCTCTGAAGCCTGGCTTTGATTTCAGTGTAAGTTGGGATGAAGCGCGACCACAGACCCTGGAACACGTTTGTTCATCATATACTATTTATTTAACTCTCAACAACAGACATGAATGCTCATAAATACTTCTGTCTTTCTCAATGGTATAATCTTCACATAATAAGGAAGGGCTTTCGCTTTCGTTATTACCAAACGAACGAAAACTACCTATTTTCCTTTTGTCTTTTATACAAAAAATCTAGGGACTGAGAAATTTCTTTAGGGAAAGGTTACGAAGTGAGTAGGAACTGAGAACTGAAAGAAGTTGATGTGGAATTTAGCAATATTTTATGATACCCCACCTCCATGAAGAAGACGTTGCAGGCTTTAGCCTCAGCGATGAGTTGCTGCGTCTGCTGCAAGTTGACGGCAAGAGGTTTCTCCATAAGCACGTTCTTGCCCCCCGCTAGGATGGCCTGCCCCACGCTCAGGTGGAACGAGTTGATAACCCCGACGTGCACGACATCTAGGTGAATGTGTAATGGAAACAACCCACTCATTTCATACACTACTCTCGATGTACAGGACATCTATGTAGGTAAATATAAAAAAAACTGCGGTGTCAGCGTTGCAAATTAGGCCATTAGACCCGTCACCGATTCTGAACATCGCAGAATTTTCACAGCATGTTGGGGGTCTAGTACCCGCAACACGCAGCTTCGATTTTAATTCTCTGACTTTTAACCACTCGGCCACCCTGTCGAGGATGGCAGAGCAAATTAACTCCTTCTTTTTTAAAAACATAAAAAATAATAATTTTTTTCATTCGAACAAACTTACACTTTCTCAAACACACTCCTAAGATCTCTAAGGCTACGACAATAGACCTAGATGGAAAGGCNGATCTTCGGCGAGAGCCTGGAAGCTGCCGTAAAATTTCTTCACTTTGAACTTCTCAGCAAACTTCTGCGCGGAGTCAACGGAGCGATCGGCAACCGCCACGATTAACATGTAAGGGTCATTCAGGTGCTGTAATGAAGGAGACAGCGCTGTTTTTTTTTTTAAATAATACATTCCAAAACCGCATTCCAATGATGATTTGTAATTATTGTCATGAAGTAAATCCAATGTTCGTTAACTTTCGTATCATTGTAAATAGATAGGTTTGTAAATCTACAGGTTTGTTTCCTGATATTGTAAATAGATAGGTTTGTCGGTGCTAATTATAATTAGGTTTGTCAGTTAATATTTACTTCATTCTTATTTGTTTTCATTTGACGATTTATGTTTTAAGATCTTCAATGTGAATTTAGTTGGCTAATTGTTTGTACTTGTGTTTTAGGTTTTGAACTGACGATGAAGCTAGACTCCAAAACGTTTTCCTTCATAAAGAAAGGTGAATTTTTTTGCTGTTTTCTTTGCTTTTAAATTCTTGAAACCATATGGGATTTTGAGCTGGACTAATTTTAGTAATGTATAGTTAACTAGAAAAACGTTCCTGCTACTTTATAATCAAGCAAGTTATCAGAGGACGATAGCATTCTAACTTAAGTTGAATTTTACACTTTAATTCAATGAACATTTTAATACCTGGACGACGTTAACGAAGTCGGAAGATATTTTGCCACTGCCAGCGATCCCCCACCGGGTCGGCGCCATTGTGCTGTCAGTTGTGCAGTTCGTTTATTCAATAGTCGCGGAGAAGCACTTACTAGTAAGAAATGTGCAATTTTTAGTGCCTCAAACGTAAATTAAGTTATTACGCTACATACTAAAAAGATATTAAAGGCCATTAGGTATAACTTTCTATATCTAAAAGGACATTAATAGCCCATAATTAGAGCAAACTCCGTTTTAGGCTGTTTTGTAACTATATGTAAATTTATTATCTTGAACTCGCTTACTTACATATTTCGGATTTCATCAATTTTAATATTAAATAAATATTAAAGTATTAAGTCAGGAAATCTTGTTAATTCTCGAGCACGAATATCACTCGTGCAATTTCTGAATAATAAAAATTCGGTAAACAACGAAAACACTTATGTTTAAATCGTACCATCAAATATTGTAAATACTGTTTAAAGTACCCAGTGGGTAACCATTATCCGGTCGCGCCCTAGCTTAATTTTTCTGTTGAACGCCGTGTTGTAAACAACTACAAAGGGATAAGCTGTGTCAAGTCGATCTTTAGAATTAAATTCAGACAATTTCGATTTAATGTTGCCAACATAATAACTGAATTACCATTTGTATACCCAATATTCTTTCGGTATTGTTGTTATTCCATTTGGCTTATGTCGTGTCTGCATTCTAACCATGGACCAACCCTTGTCAGGTGTTGGTCGGCGCCATCATTCTTCAATCCATCAAGAAATACAATTGAATCTCATCTTGTTTACCCCCAACCTACGTAATACTTATATACATCAATTAATTAGGGAAGAGAGACGGCCGTTAAATCTAAACTCGACCACCATAAGAAACCTCCCTTCACTGGTGACCCCATCGATACAAACACCCAACCTTACCTTCTCCCATAGATTCTAACACCCCACCAATCCTAACTTTCCAAATCTCACTTTGAACATAGATCCAACCTTCCTGACCAACACCCCCGAAAATCCCAAGGGCTAAAATTTCTAAACTCTAAATCAGTGGTTCCCAAAGTGGGCGATATCGCCCCCTTTAGGGCGGTGGAAAGATCTGGAGGGGCGGTGAGGAAGAAAGGGGCAGTAGGGGGCAACAGTCCGCGAAGTCGAAGTCAGTTCGGACGTTTGTTTGATGATTTGTACACAACACATGCAGAACATGACTACGAATCGAATAAATTTTCACGAGCTAAAAATCACCGTTTGGTAGTTAGGAATGTATATTCAAAATTTCGTTCGACTCTGTTCAGTAGTTTGGAAGAAATTCTTTGATCACTGCGAATTTCGGCCCGTATCGCCATATAACTCCCGAGTGAAGGTGAAATTAAAAAAAAAATTTCACGAGCTGAACATCACCGTTAGGTCTTACTGAATAAATGTTCCAAGTTTTATGGAGCTGCGTTCATTAGTTTGGGAGATATTCATTGGTCACTGAATTTGGAGATTGGCAGCGATACCGGCCACGAGTCTGGCCGGATGCGCGGCCGGCCTAAATAGGCGCCAGCCTGAAAAAGATTGAGAATCACTGCTCTAAATCATCTAAACTTCAATATCCAATCTCGACCACCATTAGAACGCCTTATTTAGGGTCTTGCCGTTTAACGAAATCTTGCAATAAAAATTTTCAGCATTTACTAGGCTTAGAGATTCTAAATGTGGTACACGAAGCATGAAGCTATTGCAAAGGGTCAAATGAACATCAAACTTGTTAAGAATTTATTTACAGTAGATAAAAAAATTGTAAAGTCTCGGTGTTGATACTCATTGAATGCCACTAGAACCAAGAACCAAGTTGTTGTCTGATATCCTGCATCACTTCTGCAAGAAGCAAGCTGCTGCTGTGAGGCATCACGGGGCTCTCCTTAACATATGAGTTTCTCAATTATGGATCGGGCCAAGTACCAATCGGTCACATGGTTGAGCTAGCATAAGGTTGGCCCACGAGAAGCTCATTTTTGCGGATGTAGTTCGTTGTTCGCCTGTGGCGTCAGTGATCTCAGTGCCGTCACGGGCATTAACCAATCACCGAAATGCGATCAAACCAGTCAAACCAATATGAATGACGAGATTGTTTACGTTTATCGATCTCAGTGACGTAACAAGAAAGCTGAACTGAAAGACGGAAATCATCATGAGTCAACCTTATATAGTTCAGCCATGAGAACCGTCTTCCGTTGATAGTTCGTCAGTGGCGACACCTAATAACTATAGTTACTTTAATATACAGTGCACCTAATAACTATACAGTTATTATTGTAAAGGGATACGACGTAGGTAGGTGAGGGGACGAGAGGACACACCGCACCCTGACACTGCAGTCAGCTCACACGGTCATACCAATAAATCACTCCTCAACACTCCCCTTCCCCAGTTATCCTCTCTACCGTTTTCCTCGCTTCTCCAAGGCTAGCTCGCTGTTGTCTCGAGTTTACACGCAATTCCGCCTATAGTAGCGTAGCGCGGACTTCGACAGTCCGTGAATGCGACTGTAAAATATAATGTGTAAATAACAACTTTTTGTATGTCTTTATTGCTAAGATTTTGACTGAATTTTTACAGCGCGCAGTATATGCCGTGGACGATGCCTCTTGTATCAGTTGTTTACAGTACATAATCTAGCCATACGTGAGGGCAAGGGCATCCCTCAGCAGCGGTGGTGAGGGAACGATCACCGGCTGAGATAACAACTCAGAAGACAATTGATGAATGGGGAGGTAGGGAGGGAATTGGGGTGAGCCCAATGGGGAGAGGAATGAGCGGAGAGGACAAATTCCTCAACACTTGTTTTATTTACCCATTATCTCCTCCGCCTCTGTTTTGGGGGAAGAAGCATTGACCATGCATGTTGGGCCTAGCTTACAATGAGCCCACTGAATTATTACCATACTGAACGTTTGCTTCAAATTGTAATTAAAGGAATCTAAGCAGAAAAATAATGAACTTCCGGATAAATAATGTCAGGAGTATTAAATAACAGTGTATACAATGTAGTACCCACTGCATTTTGTGTAAGCCCCTTACACTTCACCTTCTTCCTCCTCTTCCCCACAACTCGCTCCCTACGGCTGAGAAATTTCTCTCGCGTTGACGGTAGAGGAAGCTCTCAGATACCTCCCACGGAACCAGTGATAATTTTTTTGAAATCACTTGATAATTAAACAGAGAACAATGTCACGAATGTAATTAAATGACTTTATAGACCTAAACTATAGTTTTATGGCTTTCTTCAATGTACGAACGTATTTTATTACAACACTTCTCTTTAACTTCACTTCTTGTTTGTTTGTCTGTCTGTCTGTTTGTCTGTCTGTCTGTTACAAATCTTATAATCGATATTTAACACACTTCTGCCTGTCCAATCGATATGAAATTTGGCACACTTGCGTAAAATTGGAGACAATGCATGAATCAATTGACAGAAAAATAAGTTTAGAAATTAAAATGTTTTTTCCATTATTAAAAAAATAAAAAATAATTTCGTCTGCTACAAATCATATAATCCATATATGACACAATTTGACCTGTCCAATTGATCTGAAATTTTGCACAATTACATAAAGTCAGAAACAGTGCATGAATCAATTGACAGAATAAATAATTTTGAAAATTTACAAAATTTTGATATCTTAAAAAAATTTTGAAAAATAATTTTTTTTTAATTTTGGAAATAAAATTAGAAATTCATTGTGCATGTGTAACATCCAAGACACTGGATTGTTCAGAAGTGTTTTCTTTAAAAAGTAATGTTTAAACGCATATTATTTGAGCTGGCAAATGTTCGAGTAAGAAAGTAAATGACCGTAGTTGCAAATATTCATGAACAGTCTGAATGCTAAGAATAGACGGGTGGACACTGTTAGCAGTGCACTGAATTTCTTCCGTCGGCAGCAAGCGGTTTATCTATCAGCGAAAAATAAGCCGCTGTCTGCAGTGAAAATGAGAAATTTTTGCGGTAATTTTGTGAAATCGAAAATTTTTCAAATGGTAATGGAAATGTATGCCTCAACGTAAATAATAAAATCCATGCACAATTATCATTTCAGTTCATGCCTCACTATTCTCGCAAACCCCGGCCACGTCTTTACCCTGCCAGACGCTGCCGCCAAAATTTACACGCAGTTCGTCCAGTTACTCCAGTATGCCGAGTTTAGACCTGGAGCGTCCTTGAATGGAACACTTAGCAGGTGTCAGAAAAAAACTACATAGTTTCTAGTGTACTAAATCGTTCATAAAATACCATTTATTATCAGCACCTAATTTAATGAAAGTAACATTCCACCGTTTCGAAGCACCAAATAAGATTATATTCGATCAAATTATCAGCCCTTACCTTATTGTGTACATATTGTTTACTTAGCCTTACGCTGAACTGACCTTCAACACACGATGGTTCTTGCCCGACTGAAGTTGGACTCATGTTGCACCTCAATCTCAATTTTCTCTCTTCTTATCTTGTCCATTTCTAAAATTTCAAAACAAAACTTGACAAGATTTTATTTTGATATTTATTGTAAAGATTCCACTTAAAAAAATTTTGCACACAAATCGCAGTTCCTGCATGTCAAGTAATATAAATTTTCATTTAATACACAGGCACCGTGGGTCTTATTCAGTGCTGCGACTTTACCTTCTAAAAAAATTTTCTTTTTAACAATTAGTATTAACGTAGTGAAAAATGTGAATGTGTTTTTCATGTAGATTTATGCTAAGATTCTTTTAATTATTTTTATTAATCTTATAGTAAATCTCGCTGACTTCTTAGGAGTGTCATTTAATTAATTCAATCCTTTCTTACGGGACACCATTCTCGCCGGGGAAGTTCTGTAGTGGCTCAAATTTATATGTCTTGAATTTATATCTGCACTGTCTTTTCTTGCGAGTGTCGTAATTGATTTTATTAAACCTGCAAACTCGTTGATCAATCTTTGTAACTATGTAAATTAATTACCTTGAATTCACTTACTTATTTCGGATTTCATCAATTTTAATATTAAATAAATATTAAAGTATTAAGTCAGGAAATCTTGTTAATTCTCGAGCACGAATATCACTCGTGCAATTTCTGAATAATAAAAATTCGGTAAACAACGAAAACACTTATGTTTGAATCGTACCATCAAATATTGTAAATACTGTTTAAAGTACCCAGTGGGTAACCATTATCCGGTCGCGCCCTAGCTTAATTTTTCTGTTGAACGCCGTGTTGTAAACAACTACAAAGGGATAAGCTGTGTCAAGTCGATCTTTAGAATTAAATTCAGACAATTTCGATTTAATGTTGCCAACATAATAACTGAATTACCATTTGTATACCCAATATTCTTTCGGTATTGTTGTTATTCCATTTGGCTTATGTCGTGTCTGCATTCTAACCATGGACCAACCCTTGTCAGGTGTTGGTCGGCGCCATCATTCTTCAATCCATCAAGAAATACAATTGAATCTCATCTTGTTTACCCCCAACCTACGTAATACTTATATACATCAATTAATTAGGGAAGAGAGACGGCCGTTAAATCTAAACTCGACCACCATAAGAAACCTCCCTTCACTGGTGACCCCATCGATACAAACACCCAACCTTACCTTCTCCCATAGATTCTAACACCCCACCAATCCTAACTTTCCAAATCTCACTTTGAACATAGATCCAACCTTCCTGACCAACACCCCCGAAAATCCCAAGGGCTAAAATTTCTAAACTCTAAATCAGTGGTTCCCAAAGTGGGCGATATCGCCCCCTTTAGGGCGGTGGAAAGATCTGGAGGGGCGGTGAGGAAGAAAGGGGCAGTAGGGGGCAACAGTCCGCGAAGTCGAAGTCAGTTCGGACGTTTGTTTGATGATTTGTACACAACACATGCAGAACATGACTACGAATCGAATAAATTTTCACGAGCTAAAAATCACCGTTTGGTAGTTAGGAATGTATATTCAAAATTTCGTTCGACTCTGTTCAGTAGTTTGGAAGAAATTCTTTGATCACTGCGAATTTCGGCCCGTATCGCCATATAACTCCCGAGTGAAGGTGAAATTAAAAAAAAATTTTCACGAGCTGAACATCACCGTTAGGTCTTACTGAATAAATGTTCCAAGTTTTATGGAGCTGCGTTCATTAGTTTGGGAGATATTCATTGGTCACTGAATTTGGAGATTGGCAGCGATACCGGCCACGAGTCTGGCCGGATGCGCGGCCGGCCTAAATAGGCGCCAGCCTGAAAAAGATTGAGAATCACTGCTCTAAATCATCTAAACTTCAATATCCAATCTCGACCACCATTAGAACGCCTTATTTAGGGTCTTGCCGTTTAACGAAATCTTGCAATAAAAATTTTCAGCATTTACTAGGCTTAGAGATTCTAAATGTGGTACACGAAGCATGAAGCTATTGCAAAGGGTCAAATGAACATCAAACTTGTTAAGAATTTATTTACAGTAGATAAAAAAATTGTAAAGTCTCGGTGTTGATACTCATTGAATGCCACTAGAACCAAGAACCAAGTTGTTGTCTGATATCCTGCATCACTTCTGCAAGAAGCAAGCTGCTGCTGTGAGGCATCACGGGGCTCTCCTTAACTCCTGTTAGCAAAACCACAATCAAACGTTAATAGGATCCCGCGCAAAATTTGAGTTCATCTCTGAGCACAATTCTGTTGGCAATCCTAGTTATTTTTAGTAAAAAATCTAAGAAATACACAATTAGAACTCGACTCAATTCCATGACTTACTTTTGACTTGGTAACAATAATAATGTAATAGCTATATAAACGCAAACAAAACTTATGTTAGCTTGAGCTGATTGAAAAGTGACAAGTCCAGGTAAAAAGTTATTTCAAAAATTATATCATTAGTATAAATTATTACCACACAAAAATACACAATAAAGTGTCGGACAGGTACTGCAGGTAATCACTTCACTGATGACAACTTCTTACTTTTGAATGAATAACACACATCAACAGATTACATCGAGTATCAGAATGAACAGTCAAGTGCACAACTCCAACAAATCAAATAATCGATCAGGTTTCCATACAAAAACCAAATTCCCAAATACTTAAACAAATTCGAGCTAAATTGCAGATAATTATCCTGAAAATATGACGCAGCCAATATAAATAAGTAATCACGTTCAGTGTTACGTCGCAACTGACTTACCTCTCTCGAGGCAAGAAGCGACGTGTTGGGCTTCATACATGAGGAACTGGCTGTTGCCGAACTCGTATGTCGCAACTAACTCACCTTTCTCGAGGCAAGAAGCGATGTGTTGGGCTTCATACTTGAGGAACTGGCTGTTGCCGAACTCGTATTTACGCTCTGAAGGATCGAGGGGGCAGTCGAAGTTGCCGGACGGCGACGTGAGGTGTGGAGGTGCCCAGAAGGGCGACCTCAGCTGATATAGTGGCAAGAAGAGAGACTTGTTAAATATCAGAATTTAAAATGTTTAAACGCCGCTCTCAAACCCAAAGCTTGTAAACAGTCAGAATTTAATCGTGTTGTATCATTTTAAGCGTTGCTTCTAAAACAAAAGCTTGTAAATAATTAAATTTAAAAGTGTTGGCAATATTTAAAATGTTGCTTTTAGCTTTGTAATCAAATAAATATGATATCCAGAATAAATGACTGGCAAGAGTTATTACGACTCTCTCTATTTGCCCCAGAAATAAAAAATTATCGAAATCTGAACGCGGTGAAGTGAAAATTGTCTGTATGATTGTCAGCGCAACACAACGGGATGACAGAATAAATTCAGTGATAAGGTTACTCATGTCAGTGAAACTGCAGCGTGAATGATTCTGCACTGCATTTATAATAGATATAATATAATAACATGAATTAACTATAGTAATAAATGAATAATCATACAGTATTTTTATGATAACAGAAATGAAGACATATATACCGTGATGGTGCCTTTGGTGCCAGAAACGTGGGCTTCGTTGGGCAGCAGCGCTGACGTCGATAGCACAATAGTTCCGAATCTGTTGTTAGAAAACTTCAAGATGGCGGTCACTTCCATCTCCAGACCCTGCACAGTGCAAACCCGTTGACAATAGAAACTAAACTGCAATAAACTGGCAATAACTAAACTTCCTAAAGACGTTCATTCGCAGCCTCTTATGTTAGCCTTAGCCATAACATGCTGATGTATTAGGCTAAGCAGAGATACAGGCAAGCGGTTTCGTATAATATACAGTTTTCATTCTAAATAACTTTAACCACTACTCGTTCGATCGCTGGATTCATCTGACAAACGTCCTAAGTAAAATAATAATAATAATAGTATAAAAAATAGTTTCTATTCTGAAGATATTTTTAATATGTATCCGCTTCACGTCTGGCAAGTGCATCTCTCTGGAAAACTTGTCGAGTAAAAGGGCTTTGGATGGCATAAATATGCACTTAAAAATTTCAAGATTCAATTAACTTTTGATGTTGTAGGTGGGCGGTACAAATCATTAACCTCACCTGATCGTTCAAGGTTCCCATTGTTTTTATTTCGATGGGTTTTTCTTCATCGAAGACCCACAGGAGGAAGTTGATGGCGTACACCCCGATGTCTATCACACACCCTCCGCCGAGTTCTTTTTCTCTGAAATCGCATCGATTATTTATTGCACTTTCGAATTTCCATGTGAGAAAATATCACAACATTTATACAAGTAAAATACTTGAATAAAGTTATCCCAATGCCAATGTTATTACAAAATTGGCTCGCTTGACTTGAATGGGTGGATAGCTAGAGGTCATCATAGCTCAAGTCCACAGTGCGATTCATATACCTTCCCGAGCGTAACGCAGCCGGGCATCTTCACGGCTTTTGACACAAAGCGCCCACCACAACAGCGCAGTTCAGTCACAGGCCGGAGCACAAGGATTTACTGTTAGCCGGAGTTACCCACAGCTCATTGATCTGAGGCTGTGTAGATATTGCATGCTGATGTTTGGCATTGGGCCCAGGGCCTGTTTACGAGTCAATTTTGTTACCCACGGCTGGCTCCCACTCGAATTGACTGGAAGTTACACGCTTTATGTGCTTGTACTCGAGGACAGTAGTGGCGGGAAGTAAAACTTTCAAATACTAACAGCCACTATATACCTAACATGCTACAGGCCTCGTGTAAAAGGTTACTGGGTCCTTTCGTAGCTAGTGTCTCCTAAATACGGGGCCACTATTAAAGTTGTACCTCTCGTCACTACTTTCCTCTACCTTTAATTTCGAGATCAAGTCTCACTTGAGCCTCGGAACGTCGGCTATCGGCACTCCGAAGGAAACGAAGGCGTGCATGACTTGTCCGATCTCCTGGCGCTGTAGCCTGGCTCTGACTTCAGTGTAAGTCGGGATGAAGCGCGACCACAAAGCCTGGAACACGTTTGTTCATTTTGTATTATTAATTTAACACTAAACAACAGACATGAATGCTCAGAAATACTTCTCTCTTTCTTAATGATATAATCCTCACTTAAGATGGAAGGGCTTTCGCTTTCGTTATTACTAAACGAACGAAAAATACCTCTGTTTTCAGTTTGTCTTGTATACAAAAAAATCTAGTGATTGGGAAATTTCTGTAGAGAATGGTGAGTAGAAACTGAGAACTGAAAGAAGTTGATGTGAAATTTAACAATGTTTTGAAGTATATTGAGCAATCATCGGTTGCGGCTAAAGGCAAAATAGAGCTAGTTTCTCAGCGTAGAAACAGGTGTCCAGGAAACCTTTGAGAAAGAATTAGCTTTCCGGAATTACCCCATCAGAGTACCAAAGTGCTAAGGTGTCATAAGAGTCAGATCTGAACCTACGTCCTGGGTTTCCGAAAGCACAGAGTCTATTAATGCATGCGTAAATAGCTCTATGAATTCGAATACTGAAAATCTCAAGATCTTACTATTAAAAGAGCTGTAATATAAATAATGACATAAATAATTCAAGGAATATGTGTAATGTAATAAATATGTTGTCTATGCTTAGTAAGCGTGCGTGAAAATAAATAACGTTTCATGGCGATGTCAGGGTTCTGTCTCGCAAGGTGAACCGCATGCCGACTCTGTCTTCATATTCGTCATACAAGAAACATTGCAATATATCAGGTTGATGACAACAGTATCTCATCTTTAAATGAAATATGATTACACGTAGCCATGCTACTGATACCCCACCTCCATGAAGAAGACGTTGCAGGCTTTAGCCTCAGCGATGAGTTGCTGCGTCTGCTGCAAGTTGACGGCAAGAGGTTTCTCCATGAGCACGTTCTTGCCCCCCGCTAGTATGGCCTGCCCCACGCTCAGGTGAGTCGTGTTGATAACCCCGATGTACACGACATCTAGGTGAATGTATAGTGGAAACAACCCACTCATTTGCCCATAAATTACCCTCGATGTACACGACATCTAGGTGAAAGTATAGGGGAAACAATCTATATACTCAGTTCATATATTACCCTCGATGTACACGACATCTAGGTGAAAGTATAGTGGAAACAACCCACTCAGTTGCCCATAAATTACCCTCGATGTATACGACAGATAGGTGAATAAAGAATTGATGTCACTTATTTGCTTAAATCGCAAGTCAATTAAAAATTTAAAAGCTAAGAATAGTCCACAAAATTCAAATCTTTATAGAAAACGTTTCGGAGTCCAGCTCCATTGTCAGCTCGTAGAATCTAGAATTTACACAGAAAGTCACAAATTAGTACAATTGAAAGCACAGAACACAATTAAAAACCTAAATTTACAAGTAATAGGGCACAAAAAACCTATCTATTCACAATATCAAGGGGATAGGAGCTAACTTTCAATTGTACTAATTTGTGACTTTCTATGTAAATTCTAGATTCTACGAACTGACGATGAAGCTGGACTCCGAAACGTTTTCTAAAAGATATGAATTTTTGTAGAATATTCTTTGTTTTTAAATCTAGGTGAATGTATAGTGGAAAGTGGAAACAACCCACTCAGTTATTCATATAACTGTATTACTCTCGATGTACACGACATTTAGGTGAATGTATAGTAGAAACAACCCACTTAGTTCATATATTACTACCCTTAATGTACACGACATTTAGGTGAATGTTTAGTGGAAACAACCCATTCAGTTGTTCATATTAACTGTATTAGCCTCGATGTACACGACATTTAGGTGAATGTATAGTAGAAACAACCCACTTAGTTCATATATTACCCTTGATGTACACGACATTTAGGTGAATGTATAGTGGGAACAACCCAATCTGTTCATTCATATATCATCCCCAATGTACAGAACATCTAGGTAAATATAAAAAACTGCAGTGTCAGCGTAGCATATTAGGCCATTAGACCTGCCGTCGATTTTGAACATCGCAGAATTTTCACAGCATGTTGCGGGTCTCGAAGCCGCAGCTCACAGCTCCAATTTTGGTGCTCTGAACTTTTAACCACTTGGCCACCCAGCCGAAGGTTGTCGAGGAAATTAATTCCTAGGGTGGCCAATAAGATATATAGGCAATTTAATTCCAAAACTTTCGCGAATTTATGGCGAAATTCATTTCTGAAACGTATTGCCTTAACTCACCAACTTCCGGATCTTCGGCGAGAGCCTGGTAGCTGCCGTAAAATTTCTTCACATTGAACTTCTCAGCAAACTTCTGCGCGGAGTCAACGGAGCGAGCGGCAACCGCCACGACAACCAAGTCAGGGTCATTCAGGTGCTGTAATGAAGGAGACAGCGCTGTTTGTGCTGAAATAATACATTCCAAAACCGCATTCAAATGATGATTTGTAATTATTGTCATTGAGTAAATACAATGTTCGTTAACTTTCGTATCATTTAGGGCAGCGCAGCCGTGGGTAACAATATTGACTCGTAAACAGGCCCTGGACCCAACGCGGCAACGCTAAACATCAGCATGCAATATCTACACATAGCCTCAGATCAACGAGCTGTGGGTAACTCCGGCTAACAGTAAATCCGCTTTGCACAACACAGCCACTGCTTCACAGAGCCAGAGCCCAACTGGCCGGAGCGCAACAGGCCCTACCGCAACAGGCGGCGCAGGTTAGGTTAGGTTACGTTATGTTAGGAGTAGCTGTTGCGGTAGGGCCTGCTGCGCTCCGGCCAGTAGGGCTCCGGCCTGCGCTCCTGTATGCTCCTGTGCTGTTGTGGTGGGTGCTGTGTGTCAAAAGCCGTGAAGATGGCCGGCTGCGTTACGCTCGGGAAGGTATATGAATTGCACTGTGTTAAATATCTTTTTGTAATCAGATAACGAATTCCTAAAGCGCAATATTTATTGATCCTCGAAAATATTAGACAATATTAGTTAATCCTCGTATCAATTATCTACGTTTGAGTCTATTCAACTGAGAATTAGATGATTTAAAAACCATTTTCTGACCGTATTATTGAAAGTTAATTTTGTTGTAACCGAACGAACATGATGCGGTAAAAGTGATACAAGATAAAAACCAAATGAGCTATTATTGATGCTGGACTTATAGTTAACTAAAAACAACGCTTCTGCTACTTTACAATAGGGCAAGTGTATCAAAGGACGATACACTTCATATGTAAGTTAATTTTTAAACTTTATTTCAATTAACATTTTGTACCTGGACGGCGTTAACGAAGTCGGAAGATATTTTACCGCAGCCAGCGATCCCCCATCGGGTCGGTGCCATTGTGCTGTCAGATGTGCAGTTCGTTAATAAAATAGTCACGAGAAAGTACTTACTAGTAACAAATGTGCAACTTAATTAGTGCTTCAATCTTAGAATAAGTTATTCCGCTAATTACTAAAAAGATATTAAAGGCCATAACGTCAGTGAAATATATATTTCTAAACCTAGAACGACATTAATAGCCCTAGTTGAATCTTAGGTACAATACAGGACTTATCCGGTCTCAGTTCACAGTCTCCGTGTCAGCAACGAATTCAATTTTCTGCTTGATCTGACTCCGATAGATCTCAATTTAATAATTTGTCAGTCGTCCAGTATACATAACTGACATAAACTAAAACTTCATTTTCTCAATCACCCCGAAAGTTGACCATCAAATTTATTATCGTCATCATCATATATATCAACTTTCGTCATCGAGAAAGTTTATTCTGAATCGCAAGAAGAGCTCTTATCGGTAGATTAGCTACGGAAACGCATTGGATACGAAATTTTAGAGCTCACGGATAAATTATATTGGACAACCAAAATATCTTACTTAAAATAGATCGTAACAACCTTAAAAATACAAACAATTAAAATCTCACAGTCCTTACGTGCGTGTGAAACCCTTTTAAATCACATTAACAGCCACCACGTCTGAAAAACAACCCCTTGCGAGCTCCGGATCTATAGATTATAAAGACGATAAAAATCGTTTAATAGAGAAAACAAAGATTATTCAGTGATTTCAAAGTCTTTGAATCCGAACCACCAGAGGTGAAACCATGTATCTTGAAATCACTCTCCAACGCAGTAACGTTGCAGTGGTCAGAAATCAGCATGAAAGCGCACAACAGAGTGAGACGGGTTAGCAGTTAGAATGTGGCAATTTAGAACGATAACTCCAACCGCTGAGCCCGCCTTGTTAGCCTGTTACAGCATCATTGACGCTCCGAGTATGAACGCCTTCAAGAACAGACTAGAGTCACTAGACGAAGCTATGCAGTAGCATATGAATGCCTAGCAAATTACAGACCAGGCAATAAGTCCAGCAGCTATCTCAATCAATCGTCAGTTATGGAAAGATCGGATTCCAAAGGCAGGATCCCTTGTGAATCAAGTCACAAAAATTCAAGAATCGGCAACAGGCCACCGGCCTATTTCTTCAGTGCCGACACTTCTATTATATAGTATTCTATAGGCAACATTGACGTAGAAGTTACGCGACAGTACCTATATTCCTTTGGGTATTCCGTTGTACGATGATGCGCACTGTGCACAACGCAGAACTTTTTAGTTCCAAAGCTTTTTAATATAAATTTTCTCTTACAATAATCGTCTAGAGTATTGCACCAGACTGAGAAAATTGACTGCTGGAATGAAATTTTAAAATAACGTCATTTAAAAAACGCCATAGCGAAGTTTTTACAAATAATTGAGTAAGCTTATCATAGTACTTTAATGCGTTTATTTCTGGTCTCAGCCAGGCATGTTACTTGACGCCTCTTAATTAATCTAGCGGTTAGATAGCCACAATCTTTCCTCCATTACGAGATTACACACTTTTGCAATCTTGCTAGCTCATCTCGATAACGGCCGGCAGTTTCTCATCGTCACATATCTTCAAACTGAATTTTCCATAAAATATATGCAAACACGAATTCGATTTAGAAACGGTTTAAAAGTTACTTAACCATAAATGGAGCGATTACACGAATGAAGTATGGTTAACAGGTGTCAAAAAACGATGTAGGTGTTAGATCGCATCATCGCAGTGCACTAAATCGTTGATGAAGTACCACTTCTTCTCTACGGAAACTTGAACATTTCACCGATTTGAAACATGAAATAAGATTATATTTGAACAAATTATCAGCCCTTACCTTATTATGTATGTATCGTTTACACAGCCTCACGCCGAGCAGTTCTCTACCACACGATGGTTCTTGCCCGACTGATAATCACTGATCGTTGGCTGAGGTTGCAGTTGGATACCTCCATTTTCACTCTTCCTATATCGTCCATTATCAAACTACAAAACAAAACTTGACAAAAAATTATTTTGTTATTGTCAAGATTCTACTTTGAAACTAAAATATTGCACACAAATAGCACTCCCTGCGTGTCATAAAATAAGCTCCAGAAATATAAATTCTCATTTAATGCACTGACATCGTAGGTGTGCGACTATATAATATGTACCCTACAAACATTTTTTTCCACTAACCATTGCCATTGGTTATAACGTAGTGAAGATATACTTGAACACGTTTTTCATGTTTATTCAAAGATTCATGATTTATTCAAAGATTCTTCCAATCAATTTTCTCAATCTTGAAGTAAATCTCACTGACCTCCTAAAAAACGGATTAGTCAATTGTTTTGCAAGTGATATCAGTTTTGCGGGACATTTCTGGTGGCTCGTTGTCGCTGGTGCTGACAAAACTCAAAAGTTGAAACAAACTTGTGTAGTCAACAAAACAAGTGGTGAGTCCAGGAACTTTACCCGCCTTAAACTTTCTAAAACGCTAGTGAATTCTTTTTAAAGACTGTAGGGCCATACTAAGTTGAATTTGTGAGTAGTAATTAATCTTTACCGCTGATAATTTGTTTTATAAATTGCAGTAGAACTACGTCTAAGGTCGATACGATACGGTAGTTTTTATTGCACCAGATAACCAGAGGCAGACTAGGCTACCTAAGTAGTAGGTAGTACTAGGTACCTACCACTTGAGTGGCTAAAGTCCATAGTGGCAAAGCAGAGAGTTTTTTAGACTCTCTCTCAACTTCTCAAGTTCATTTTTGAGTCCTATAACTTTATAAGTAGACCAGTAAGCAGTAAAGTATCCTAGATACCAGCATTATCATACATAAGAAATTGGTTCAATTCTTGAGTAAATGAGGAAATTAAAAATGAACCGATTCTAAAAAATCTGTGGTTTGCATAGTGGCAAACCAGAGCTTTTTTAGAATCTGTTCATTTTTAATTTCCTCATTTACTCCAATTTCAACCAATTTCTTAAGTATGATAATACTGGTATCCAGGATACTTTACTGGTCTACTTATAGGAGAATTACCTACGATGTCGGAATATACCGCGTTTACCCTATATTCCATACTAGGTGGCCTGTAGGTAATTAGTACTACATTTCAATTGGGTCACTTCGAGTTCCAATGCGGACTGCAGTGATATAATAAATATTGATTACCTATATGATGGGCCAATGAATTAGGGATGAATATATAATGGCTGATGTCATCATGCCATGGCAGTGATGGCACCTCTCACTGTCAGCTTTGACTTTTGAGGAAATTTTGTAACCAGCTCCTGGGAGGCTGGGATATTACCCCACTTCTAGTCTTCTAGGGTAAACGCGGTATATTCCGACATCGTAGGACTACAAAAGTAGGCTATCAGATGAGACCCAAACTGAACTAGAATTTCAGGCAGAAGCCAATTAAGTAGGTATATGTGACAATCAAAATGCATATGCTTGCTACTTTGCCAGTTACTGATTTGCCAATATTTTGATCATTTCTGTTATGCTTGCCTAATTTTTCTTGTGAAAGTTGAGAAAACTAGGGTAAACGCGGTATATTCCGACATCGTAGGTAATTCCGTCACTTCTCTAGTTTTTCCTTTATATTAAGCTTTGTTTTAGTTCCATGCGTTCATTGATGGTTGAAATGGTGACGTCATACATTTGCGTGTCGAATTGTCGAAATACTGCAAAAACACTAGGTCTTGGCCATCTAGTGGGAAAATATTGAGATCCAAAGAGAGACAATGCATGCCACCTGGTGAGATCATCGAAAAATGTGTCAAATTTGACAGTTGACATGGCTCTACCAAATAGTGAATAACTGTTTTTATAGGAATAATATTATGGTTTGAGACTTTTAAATACGCCTGTGAATATATTAGGAATCCTTTAAGTAAACTTGTATTCGCTGATTTCAAGTCGTAAATAAATTAATAGATGATTAAGTTGAGTGATGGATTTAGACCCATCAAAACTAATTCCGACACAACTTGAAATGGACACACACAGATCGTTCAAAGCTTTGTACAAAAATTGAAATTTGCTTAATTAAAAGCCTAATAGCTGTTAATTAAAACGTAATTAAGTAGTGTTCAATATTCGTTAGTGTTCTAATTCAAAGCCGTGTTGTATCCCAATACAGCTCACACAGCAAACGGAATTCGAATACGTTGATTTCGGCATTACGTATCAGTTAAATTTGAAGCGCTGACGCAATACGACTCACCACGTGTCGAATATTGCCACTGTGACGAAATATAGGGATTTGGTAGGTTTCCATTCTAAAGGCTTTTTAATAAATATGGCAACATTTTGTGACGTTTCATCATTGCTGACACGTAGTGAAGTGTTTTGAGAGTCACGTGAAGGCAACAGAACTTACGTAACGCATATATACGTTTATTTTTATTGTTTTTCATTTCTCGATGCGTCCTTAATGTGTCGGAATATACCGCGTTTACCCTACTACATTTTTGCCCATGATTTTCTTGAATTACCAATTGTTTCCATCTATAATTTTTGAATTCTGCCCAATATTTTGTATTTGGACTGTAGGACAGGGAACAGCCAACATAAAAATTTGGGGGTTAAATGATGCACATAAATATGTTAAAAATGCTAACTTGCTAACGCTCATACATGATAAAAATATTTTATATTTTTTGTGTCACCGGTCTGATCTTATTTCTGTTATTAAGCTAATCTGGATTCTGAAATATTACGGTACTATTGGTATTAGGCAGAATTTTCCAAAACTTTGGGCCACTCTGGGGCAAATAAGAAACTCTGGCCATTTCTTGTTTCTTAAGAGAAGAATGTGAATGGCAAAATGGGTAAATTTTTACAACAAGCACACTGGCAAGGTATATATCTACCTTTTAAGCTGCATTGCTGCAACCTGCAGCAACCAGAGCAGGCAGAGCTTTCTGGTCCTTATCAGAGCTGTGAGATTATAGCTTTTCAGAGCTAGATGAATTATATATATACCTCTTAATAAAGGCTCTTTTCTCATTTTTCTTATAAGTACTTTATTGGGCTGCAAAATTCTAGATGTAGCTGCAAATTTGTCACTTTTGAGCTGCAAGATTTTATTCATAAGCAAGAAAATTTTAATCCTGCACTGCTGCACGCACAGAATATTTTGTTTCATTTTTTTTTTTAATATGAGCAGGGCCCTGTTGAGCTGATTTACCTGCCTAATATCTCTGTCCCAAATGCCAAATTCCCAAACAAAGACAATTATTGTAGTTTGCAAAGTAAAATTCTTTGATTCTTAGTACAGCCAAAACTGGCTCTAGCTGTGCTTCTAAATTCAGTGCATTATGAAGCAGCCTAGATTGCTCCTGCCCAGCTATGTGGCTATGGCTATGCTAGAGATAAAGCAAAGTTAAGAGTCAACACATTTGCCTGCTAAACTAATGGCTATGCTGTTTTACTATTGTTTTTAAAAAGATTATAAAAGCTTGGTTCAATAATTTTTAATTTTCAGTGTACATCTCTTACCATTGGCATCATGGGAGCCTCAGCTCTGCCTCTCATCATGATGACTCTCCTATGGGGCATTGTTGGCATTGTCTTGCCAATCATTTTGCCCAAAGGACCTCATCGCAGGTTTGTTAATAAGTGTTCCACACATTTCTTGTTGCTGTGAATTTTAAAGCAAAGATGATGCCAGGTATATTTATCATGTCTACAGTCTACACTGAAAAAATGTAGATACATGGTCAATGGCGATGAATGAAAATTTGCTGTTTTCTTTGCTTCTAAATTCAGTGTGAACTCTTTATTTATGCAGACTAATGACTTGAACATTCATTAATTTTTATGCAATAACTATTTAATTTCATAAAAATATTTTTAAATATAATAATTTTGTGTTATTCATTGGTTATAGGCATCCAAACAATATAAAAAAATTCTGATTTGAGAAAGCTTCCAAGCTTGGCAAACAGAAAATTACCAAAATATTATACAACTGAAATAATTTGATTTATGCTTTTTTATACTACTCTGATATACTAATGTTGAATTGATTCATGATTAGGAGTGTACCTATTTTCCAAGTGGTTCAAAAGAAAACTTTGTTATTCCAGCTTGATGCAGTGCATCTTGATTATCACGGGAGCAAGCTGCTGGTTGTTGTGAGTATTGATAATCATCATCATATTAATGTTGCTAGAATCTTGTGTTTACATTCTATTGAATTTTTTTTTCTCGTGTAAATATAATTCACAAAATTTGAAATCTTTGCAAATTTTGCAAGTTGGTGTGAATTGTCATGTTAAAGAAATTGAAGATTATGACTTGGTGATAACCAAATAATTTATGTGCTTCAAACTTTGAATCTGAAGAAGCCAGCTTAGATGCTGGCGTATTAATTTATTCTAGAGAAATCTTTGAAGTTGTCAAATTTTCAATGCTCTCGAGAATGATCTTCACCATCATTTTTGATGAAATTTGAGGACAGTCATGACCAGTATTTATTATTGTAATTGTTTTGCTCAAAATGAATGCCAATTTTCAAAAAACATCTCCAAAAATGTAGCCACAGTTGTTGAGAATTTGTTGTATCCATCATTTTAACTAAAAGTATAATTGGATTACTCCTGTTGACTCAAAGATTTCATTTCAGTTGGCTGTGCTGCTACATGCATCAGATGAACCCTCTGATTGGACCCATGCTTCATAACCGCACCCTTGCAGCCGTCAAGCAGCTCTGGGTGAGACTACTTCTATAGCCACTAAATTGTTATTACCAATCCTTTCACAATTCGAAAAACAAATTAAAGTTTGTGCAGATGAGAAATGATGCATTGTAAATCATAAGCATGACTAATTTTTTCTATGGACAAGAATAAATGTAATGTTGATTGATTTATGAAATATTACAGTTGTGAAATATTACAGCTTTTTTATGCTACGACACTCATATTGTTGGTGCCGACCAGGAAAAGTCATATTATTTTATGGTCAAGTTATGATTTCCTGTTTTATAATACTCTGCATTTTAAATTGTTGTCTTTTTTTCCAGCCTCAGCCTGGCGCTACAAGCGTGTGAAGAGCACATACAGCATGACATGTGTTTGAGATTTTGGCACTTGTTCATCCCTGGACATCTTGCATGCATACTTTGTTGTTTCTGGGATCCTCTTGCTTCATTCGCTCTCCCCCACTGACTGCAAGTTCTGTAGAACATAGTCGGTTAATTATCTATAAAAATTCACTTCTTTGTGACAAAAAAAGCCAAAGTCATGTGCTTGATTGACAAGTTACAGAACAGACTAAGCTTATATCTGCCACTATTGCTAATTGCGTAAAATGCCATTTAATTTGGTTATTTTATTATTGGGCTTGATCTGAAGCTTGTGTCTCTAGTTCTGCAGCCAGCCTTTTGGTGAAATTGGCTTCTGCCAAAATTTTATCTTATTTTTCTTTCGAAAATGATAAATAGTTAATGTTGTATTAGTGGTTGTATTGAAGATACTTGACCTACCTAGTCATAGGAACTTGAATTGTTATGTAGCAAGACGGAAATCGTCAATAGTAGTTAGCCTCTGACCCTCTCAAGACCCTGTGTTAGTTAAATCGTGAAAGTATCGTTTTTAAATTTGGTGAACGTTCTTATATGCATACTAAATACGATGACAGTTTTCAATGCTAAGTGTGGTCAAAGCCCACGTAACAAAAGTAAGCGGCAAGTTACGAAGCATCAGCTGTTAAAAAGAAGGAACGTGTCTAAGCATGTCAGTGATGATGTCACCACGATAGCTACTCTGAAGTTTGTCTTGATATTTAAGCAAGAGGAAGTTGTTCTTCTTGCTGTATCTTTGACTGTAAGCTGCTGTCTCACTGAGATTTAAGTAATCAATGCAAAACTTGACTATGTTTCTTTCTGTCGTTAGTTGTTACTTTTTATCTGAATTTAAGAGCAAATTTTTGTCGAGAAAAGGCCACGCTATGACACCTGCCACATTTTTTCAAAAAAGGTTTACCCCAATGATATTGAAAATACTAATTTCTTCACATTCAGCTTCATACGCTTGAACAAGTTTTAGGTTATTCTTACTATGAAAGTTATATTCATTTCGAGGATCCAATCACGCTAGTAGATATAGATCAGTTAGAGCATTTCACCCTAGTGTGTTTTCCTTATCTACCTTTTACTGTTGTTGAGTTTTACGTCATCAGTGTGACAGCAGCCTCTGTACATCCTCTCTGTATATCACCAACAGTTTTGTGACTAAAGTTCGTTTATGCGTGTGCTTGATCTCAAATACAGTAGATTTATTTACTACTCCGAATACTCTTCTCAAGCTTTGTTTATTCTTATTTTGTGTGCTTTTTTCTTGAACATTCTTCAAATTTGAAGATCGTTCAAGAATCCATCACATTCCACTATTTGTGACCAATTAACAATGAAAGCTTAGAAGAGGAATAGCGTCAGAGGTGCATCATGAGGTCATTAAATACCTGAATAATTTTGTCTAAGATACTTTGATAACATCTGAGATATCTGAATAATGGTCTCTTAGATACTTGACAATTGTTATCAGTGTAGCACGCATCATTCCAAAATAAAGGATGCTTGGTAGCAAAAAAAGTGTTCTTGTTTGTTGAGTTTGATAACAAGAATCACAGGATCTACCTCAGTTTGCTGTCGCATTTCTGTGGCTTTTTCTCTTAATTATTAATTATGATTATTTACGTTATTAAAAAGAATCCTCTCGCTTATACGAAGATAAAGTTATGTTTTATTAACATTGTAGAATATATATTTGTTTTAAATGTTTTTTCTGTCTCATATGGTGATGCATTGACTTAGTGCTGTTTAGTTTTTAGTTATTTATTTTTATGATGCTGCATAAAACCATACTAGTTCATTGAGCTTGTACTTTACTGGGTATCGGGTTTGCTTTAATCGAATTACTGGAGCTTCTAACTGTAAAATCTGTCGGTGATAGCAAGTTTTCCCCATTGTTTCAAGTTCAATTGCCGCACATGAAACCTTGATTGTGAGTTGTGAGTCAAATTTTTGAGTGAAAACTTGCTAAGGTAACAGTTGCAAACGGTTGAAAGGTGCTGTACACATTTCAAATAAGCTGGGTTTATTTTCTATTTGATGAATGACTGAAATTTTCGATGACCATTGAACTACACGGGCTGGTGACTGCAGGAATGCTAAAGAAATCACTCTAGTCGCTCATTAACTGATCGAGTTGAAATTTCTGGGTTAAAACTTTTTTCTATCAATTCACTGGTATGATTATACTATTAGGAATATATTTTGAATTAGGTCTATTGACATGAAGCATGTACGTTTAAAAAGCTTTATTGATATAATTTATTGCTCATATTCCAGGTTTTCAGTGAGCTTGTCTTGTGGATGTGTTTTATCGCGAGTCTGTTAATATATTAGATTTGACTTCACATTAGTTGTATACGTGTTAGGATTCCTGAAAGGTAAAATGTTGATGTTACAAATTGCCCTTTTTTCTCCCTCGATACGAAATAATCTCGTATTTGGGTCCGCATTTAATGACCGCAAGACCTGTTAGGTGCTGTCAGCCATATGCAGGGCAAACGCCACGCGCTTCTCGACTAGCCGCTGTTGTGACGGCAACTAATCAGTCTTACGTAGTTAAGCATTTGCGTAGCGCGGCCTCAGATATTGGAAGTTAAGTGCGCAGGTTAAAAATGGACCACTTTTTAGTTCAGTTTACTACGCACACTAGAGACCCTCTCCGTACAAAATTACAGCTCTGCATATGGGAACAAATAAGATAAATAGAAACCAAATTATACACAAAAGGAAGATGAAATGAAATAAGAAATAAAATCGTGTAGTTTGCCAAAAAATTCCATACAGACAAAAAGAAATGGTCAACTGTTATCGGCAGACAAAATTCTCGATTGAGAAAGCAGAATTACACGCAACGCCTCACATAAAGTATTACCGTACACCAAAACGTCACTTCGTTTGAATATACAAGGAAACGCAGCTTCTATTAGCGGATTAAGTCTAAGCCGAACACGATCCAATGACATTGCTAAGAGGCAAATTTAAATTATTAATCATTGCTAATCAAATGTACAAATTGTGGTTACGAAAGCGTAGGGTGAGTGGCATAAAATGTTGCTTAGCATAAAATAATGCTAAGCAACATTTGACCTCTAACAAGTTATTCCCTATCCAGGCAGGAAAAGCCTCACGGAACTCGTTGCTTAGGAGTAATGGAGGGGCAAGATGTTCATTTCGTTTCCATTGAATATAAGAGGGATGAGAACCTACAATAGCCATATTTTCAATACTAAAGAGACCTGTAAGCTTATCGATCTTAACTAGATAGTTCATATAAAGTCTACTCACTACTGGCGACTTATGCACTATAAAGCACTAAGGGTGCAGTTGAGGGCACTACAGCTGTTAAAACAGCACAGTTCATCATCATTGCATTTATTAAGTACAAAAGTTTAAGTTTAAGCTCCACTTATTTCTACAGAGATCAAAGATTTCGAGCGGCCAGTGCAACCCTGTTCAACCTCACGATGCAACTGAGCTGTGGCTTTCTTAGTACTATAGAGAATGGGAAAGATAAGGGTGAATGCGCGCAGTTCTACGCCTAGCATATTTAAATAATTTCAATGTGTGTGAGTTAGTGTACAAAGGATGGACCATCATACGTGTGATGGCCGTGTAGTTGTAGATCAGTTCAGTAACACACACCGGCTGGTGAAAGGTGAACGGTTCAACGTCTGTCTTCTAGAAGAGAAATGATTCGGAGAATTATACTCAATTACGTGCAGTTTGTTCGAATTTAAATGCATTCATAGGCGAACAAAAGTAAGATTATACAATGGAGATGACTTTGAGCTTGATGCACATGCGTTGCATGCACACCCACAGTTGGCCTCGTAACTACTTTGCAATGTATAAGTTTTTTTTTTACTTGGCCTACATCCAATTATTGGAACTCCTAACAAACAACTATTCATTAACGTACATTGGGAAATTATTGTTATTAAAGATACGTATTTGATATTTGCTCGTACAAACTCGAATAGTCCAAAATTGTAGTTCAAACACGGTTATGCGTTGAGTGTTTTTAAGCAAACAAGCCTTCAGGAATATTAACAAGTGTGCACCATGGATATTATCATGCCATGATTATCACCCGCCAGCTCATACACTAGATACAAACACAGCACTCAATATTTGCCTCTGCCAAAATACTCGCGACTCCAGAGCGCTCATTATTTCTCGCTTAAGATACAAATTTGAATAAAAAAATGTGATAATTGTGCATTGACACAATCGTCATAAAGCATTGCAATCTCTGGCTACCTAGGCAAGTCCATACCCATACAGATACATATTTTGACTGGAATGCCGAGCTGGACAATCCAATACATTTATTGCTACTGCTATGGTTTCGATGACGGGTAATAAGGAAGATGATATTTCAGGTTCCAGGTTATTCAAGTTATTACTGCGTTTAAAAATGGTAAATTCCAAGAAGAAACTCTACACAGCTAACGCATTCAGATTCAAATGACTTACGTTCAGCGAATTCATAAACTTCACTGATCCTTTATTGTAGTTCTTAATCGCTGGTTTCCTAGCAGGACAAACGACATGAGACATAACCTTATAGAGCAGAAAATTATGCAAACTGTAAAACGTGAGCAAACATGAGTAAGTCGTATGAGATAGATATATCTTAATTTCATGGTATTTTGATACAAGGAAGCCATTCACAAACTAAATAAATACACTGTATCAAGTTAATTCGCAATATGAGAGTATTTATTGGCATTTATTACAACAATAGACATTAAATGCTAAAATTAAAGCAAATATGTTCGGGTTAAATATGCTTACATCTTTAATACAACACATGTTAGTTCAGAAATACAGATAAAAACGTTTTGTTCACTTCTGCATGAATGAGTGCACATTGAGAAACCCCAAACTACAATATAACTGAAATTTTAATCATTTGTGCCGTAATTTCAAGCTTCGATTCTTAAGATTTTAAAAACTTAAACCTTTTTTCATAACTACGATGTCGCTCAACACAAACATCGAGTCGGTTGCAAAAAAAAAAAACTTGGCGCATTACAAAGGAAGTTTAATCTCAATGATTATTCATGAAGCTAAACACATTTATAAACTTATTTACTGTGACAATATAAATGTTTCAATTCACATGATATCAAACACCGTCCTCAACAATCTTTACTGGAGTTCTGACTGCTTTTATACACTAATTTCCTGCTATAATATCAGGTAACTAATTCACATACTTCAGATGAAACAATTAACAATCATCAACGGAGTTCTGGCCACATTTATAAACTCATTTACCATTACAATATCAGAGAACCAATTCACATGGTATCAACCGCAGCTCTCAACAATCTTCACTGGAGTTCTGGCCACATTTATAAACTCATTTACCATTACAATAGCAGAGAACCAATATACAAGATATCAACCGCCGCTCTCAACAATCTTCACTGGAGTTGGGCGCCGCTTCTTTGTTCTTGCTCCTGCAGCAGAGGACGCAGGGCCCCACGAAGACCAAGAGGGGCGCAGCGGCGAAGACAAGCAGCCCGACACTCACGAATATAGCGATGACCTGCAGGCGGTGACAGAGCACAGAGGCGCGGCTGTGGCCGAGCTTGTTGCGGCACGGGCCCTTGTCGTAGTGACGTAGAAGGAAGTCCTCCTGGGGGGCAGAGTGGATGTCAAATTCTAATATACCTGTAACATGATGTGGTAATCTAATTCAAATATAACTAGATGACGATGAGGGTGTCAAATGCGGATGATGTCGATAATATACGACGATGTATATTGTCGACGATGTAGGCGATGATAATATGACGATGTGGGCGTCAAATTCAAATATAACTACCCAGTGAAAATTTGCAGACCCGGCAGCTTCTGATTTGCATTACCAGAAGCTGGGGCGACTCTAAATTTTGTTAGGGTAGATGACGATATGGCGTCAAATTCAACTATACTAACTAAGAAATAATGAGGTTGTCAAATATGGTAGATGTCGATAATAGTGGGCGTCAAATTAGTAAATGCATTACAAATTATGGGTGGAAGTCAGAGTAAAGCAATAGAAGTAAACAAAAGAGATGCTGTGCAATCACATGCGAATTCAAGGGAACATAAGAGTTGAAGGTAAGGAAGTGAGAGTGAACGGATAACTGCGTTGCATCATAGTCGTACTAAGAGTTAAAAAGCGAAAAAATATCTGCTTTTGATCATTTCCAGCTCTCACGCCATTATTTAATAATATAAAAGATAACGCGAAAATCTACCGAGTTTTATTTGAACCACATTAAAGATAGAATTTATTATACGCGCAACTTAATGAACAAAAGTGGTGCTGCCGTGAAACTTGAAACATTTTACAAACAAGACTTGATATGTTGATTTTGCAAACGAGACACTGTGCTGCCGTGGAAAAGCCTTTCACAAAAAAGATTCGATATGTTGGGATTCTTTACGCGGCATTGTGCTGCGGTGAAACCTAAAAAATTTCATCAACATATTTGATATGTTGTAACTATACTGCCGAGGCACCGAAAACCGTTCATAAAATGACTTGATAGGTAAAGGTTACGAGGTAGCGGTACTCACCTCGAGAGAAGCGAGGCAGTACCAGCAGAAGGTGTGTTTGCAGGCCCGGCACTGCATTTGTGCGCAGCCTTCGTTGCGCTCGATAGGGACCCTACACTTGGGGTTGGGACAGCACTTGATCACACCAGGCAGGTCGCTGCTGTCAACTCCCATCTGAGATAGCGAGGTATTATAAATTATTCCGTCAACTCCGGTACCCTGTTCCTGATAGCACCAAAGCAATGCGAGTCACCTCTAAAGTTTTAAATTTTGGTAAACTTTTAACATTTTCTCAATTTAAGGAGATATTTCTTGTCTTTGAAACTTAAATACAGAAAAATACCACTACCATTGTACACATCACGGGTGTGGACATAAGTGTGGAAATAATAATGTCATAGACTAACCAGTTTATTGTACTGCCGCTTGATGCCTTTAGAGGAGGACGCGCGCAGGGAGGAAGCACACGCGGCATCCCCGTGGGGTTCAAGTCCACATGAGGGGCAGAAGGAGAGCTGACACGTGGGGCACGTTACCCCGTGCCCTGACATGACACCTTCGATGTCCGGCTGCTCGGGGATCCCTTGCAACACCCTAAAGTCGGAGGAAGATTCAAGTGGCATCTGAAGCGCGGCAAAAGGCCTGTATTCGGCAGGGGATTGAAGGCCTGCCAAGGCAGCAGACAAGTCTGGGTCTGCAGGATATTCCGCTTGTCTTAGCGGTCTTGGAGATGACGTTAGCGGCAAGATTTTAGGTCGTTTTATATCTCTGATCATATTTACCTCGTCCAAGGATATTCTGCGTTCCGGTAACATAGCGCTCTTCTCATCAATCTCAGCGTACCTACAGAAATCCTCATCTATCTCACTAGTTGGGGCTTTGGTCAAAGATACAGTTGACGCGTCATTCTTTATACTAGTGTTACAGCTATTACTATTATTAATGAGATCATTTTCGGAAGTAACTTCAACGGTTTCATGGGAAAGAGGAAGAACGCTCTCAGAGGATCTCTTTGCAGAGAAAGGCACGCGAGCGGCAGAAATTGACGTTCGATGAGACTCGTAAATCAAGGGTCTGGTTTGTATCAATTGAGCCGCGCCCGTTTGAAGGGACAACTCAGCTGAATTTTTCTTATTAAAAAGAGACTTCCTGGAGAAACTAGGTTCCGTTGGAAGGGACGTCTTTGGTTGAATTTTCAGACTTGGGGACGTTTCGGATGAGCCTGTACGGGACGTTTCAGGTAAACTTTTTCTACTTGAAATGAATGCATCAGATGAATTTTGCGCTAAAACAGAAGTCTCGGGGAGAGACGTCAAGTACAAGTTTACTGTGGTGCCAATGCGTCTTGTTCTAGAGGTCGCAGCCTCGGCTTTGTTAACGGGGCTAGAAGGAATGACGTGGGTTTCTTTGTCTGTAGTAAATGTTGATTGCACGGAAGGAATAGGTTGTCTTTGGCCTGGAGGAATAAATTGACTTACAGAAGGAACAAAAGAATTTACAGGAATAATAGTAGGCTGTGCTGAAGGAACCGGTCGTAGGACAGGAGGAATAGATTGCGATGCAGAAGAAACGAATGACTGTGAAAGGGATTTAGAAGACTTTTGTGAAGGGAAATTCGACTTTGGTTGAGGACCAATTGAGTGTTTGGCTTCTATAGCAAATTTTGGTTGCTTCAGTCGGATGACAGTCGCGCATCCGGGCCGAGGGCAGAACACGCGGAAAGGATCAGCTGTCACCTCTGCAAGTAGAAAAAAACATATAAATATTCCGGATAAAATTGAGGCTAAATATCGGACAAAACTCATATGAATGCATGGCTGTCTAATATATTAAGATAACTATTGACGGAAGAAAGTTAGGATAGTAATTATTGATGGAAGAAACGTAGAGTAACTATTTATGGAAGAAACGAAGGATAACTATTTATGGAAGAAACGAAGGGTAACTATTTATGGAAGAAACGAAGGATAACTATTTATGGAAGAAACGAATGGTAACTATTTATGGAAGAAACGAAGGATAACTATTTATGGAAGAAACGAACGATAACTATTTATGGAAGAAACGAAGGGTAACTATTTATGGAAGAAATGAAGGATAATTTTGATGGAAGAAAAATAAGCAAGGGACAGCACCTGCATCAAGTTTGAGTTTATTCCTGACGGCGAGTAAGTCATTGCCGACGAGAGCCTCGATCTCGTCGGAGGTGAGCTCGCCGACGCCATCCCGACGAGCGTCGCAGGAGCCGTCGGGACACTCGATGCGGTGCTGTCCTGACAATATTTGCACGCGCACGTACTCCGCCATGCACTGAAATGACCACATACACGGTAATTAAGATGTCTTGTGCGATCTGAGTTCTAGAACTAGATAGAGAATTTTTGACTAAACATGTAACGATTGAATTTTTAAAATACCCAAAGACTTATTTATGCAGTTCTGAGTTTGTAACAAGCTCAAATGCTCTATAAATATTAGATTTTTCGAGTACCCTAAGATTTCTCATGCAGTTTTGAGTTTGTAACAAACTATAAATATTAGATTTTTTACGTGCTTCCAGATTTATTATTCAGATCTGAGCTTATGATCAACCCTATAAATATTACATTTTCCAAGTAATTTTTCAATACGGTACATCGCAGATTTAACCTTTTCTCTACTGACATGCACTTCATGTCAACAGTTTGTCTACTTCTACCGAAAAAGGATAAATTAACGAAAAGCTTAGCCTTATTCAACCATTTAAGGAATAAACTTGCCATCTTTTCGTACAAATTCAAATCAAGCTTAAAAACTATGAATAGTAGGTATACATCCAGGGAATTTTGTATACTCACAAATCTGCAGAACCTGCACTGGCAAAAGGAAAGCTGGCACATCAAGTTGACAGAGACGTCCATGAGGCAGAGACGACAATAGATGGTGTCGTCCTCGCCACTCCCCAGAGACCCGATGAAGGAACCGAGATACGACGCACCAGCAGACGCAAGAGACGGAGCTATCGAAGACGCACGCGACAGAGACCGCGGCAGGAAGGCTGAAAGTTGGGACCTTCGTCGTGAGCGTTTACGAGGTGGATTCAACTGATCTGATTTGTTGAGATTCTGGCCAATGCTTGAATTGAGAGTCTGGCTTATGCTTTTGAGGAGGTTTTTACTCAGACATCGGTGTACTTTACATTGGTTTGCTTCAGCACCCGGAAATAGTTTGGTTGACGCTGAGCAGTTAGAGGCCGCACTTGTAGAGGACAGTGCAAGGACCGTGTGGCTTTTCCTAATGCAGTTTTGGGGACCCGCCGGCGTGTCCAATAGCCTAAGACTGTGAGCTGAAACATCTTTGCTAATGCTTTTCTTAGATGTTCTTTCGTACCTAGAAGCTTTGCCAGGAACCGACTGACGGGGTGGTGTTTTGAATATCGATTTGAGGGAAGGCATGGTGACGTTATTTGGATTTGATGAGCATAAGGGTTTCACAAACACGCTGGAAACTGGACAAACTGTCGCTTGGCTTTTTGACCTTCGTGGGCCGGACGTCTGAGACAAGCTTCGGTATCGACCGAAACGACCACCAATCACCGAACTGCAAAAAGACACTCCAATTTCTTCGTCTATAAACTGGAGATCATCAGCTTCACAGCTGTTTGCAAATTGATAACTACAAGATGATAAAGAACGAGGGATTTGATCTCTTTGTTTTTGATTCTGGTAATAAAGGATATTTTCTGAGTACGTAGAATCAGACTTGGGCAGTGAAAGATACGCGTATTCCTCTTCCAAACAGAATGACTCAGACTGAGGTATTGTTGAATACGAATATTCTATTTCTGAATAAGCCGAGTCTGACCGAAAGATAGTAGACCTTGACTTAGGCAAAACTGAGGTTTGCCTGCATGGGATGATCTGCTCAGAATACGATGACTCCGATTTGTGTAGACCGTAAGGGTAACTGATACCAGAATCTTGAGTAACGGACGACTTGAGCTTTGGTGGGGAAACGGGCGAGTCCGGAGAATATCCACGGAGTATGGGAGAGTAAGCATAAATGTCTTCAGAGAAGGCGGAATCTGACTTGGGAACTTCGGAGTAATGGTACTGCTGAAATTTGAACTGAGTCGGAGAAACTCGAGATATTTTCGGACAAGATAGTTTACGAGAAGAGCTCGTCAAAAGAAGCGGAGACTTAGGAGGAGTTCGCAAAAATGTTGCTCTACTAGCATGACGGTGGAGAGACGGCGAAGAGCGCTGCCCACTCAAAGGTTTATGGAATTGTGCACTTTTAACGGGCGAAAATGACTGGTTGAAAGAAGGGTTGGAGCAATAAGGAGAATTTGAAACGGGACTTACGGAAGGAGAAAGAGAGTTGTGGGGAGAAGAAGAATATGTAGGCGATAGGGATTTGACCAGCGGCCGATGGTTACTGATGTTGGAATTGAAACTCGATATCTGCCCCGGGGACGAATTTGTAACTGGGCTAGTCAGAGGAGAAGTTCTCACGGGAGGTAAAGGAAAAGTTTGTTTTGCTGGAGACCCTGAGTGCACAGGAACTGGCGGAGCAAATTCTCGGAAATTTAAAATTTTGGAATCGACTGGAACGCTTTTAGATCCAACCAGGAGTTTATGGAGAGATGGAGAAGTGGAAGCAACTTTATCGGCTTTCTGGGATCGGTTGGGGGATTCAAGTGACGTTCCCGCTGGAGGACTTGAAACTCGCTCTTGGCTTCCGTTGAAGCAGTATTGAGCGATGGATGACGAGGGCACAGAAATGGGATTCTGAATGGAAGATCCTGTGTCCCTCCGGTTACTGATGAGTGGACCAACGGCGGCCATCTTGGAAGGCCGTCTTCAAGCCCTGCAAATAAAAACAAGACATCAAACAGCGGAATTGTATCATCATCAAACAGTGGTGTGGAAACGATTTGAAATCCAAGCTTTCAAATTGTATCCACAATACCCTTGATTTGTACTACCTACTGTGATTTCCAAAGTTCAATTTCAAGTGTAGCAAAACCTTTCACCAGCTTGATAATGAAAATTGTATTTTCGAAACGCCGCAATCCATTAAAGTGTCATTTGGTATAACCTGCTTTTTGATTTCTTGCGCCAGCAAGAAATTTTGTTCGACTCATTGAAAAAATGAATAAGAAAATTATTAATGAAAAACATGCTCCTGTCTTTAATCAAACTTGCATAAAAGAAAAGCTTTTGCCGAATTACACAAATATCCACACTATATAGAGTGACACTTTCTGCAATAAACAGTAATGATTTTAGGTCATTAATAAATCGTGCCTTACATATTTTTAAATTAACATCAACTAGCCAAGCATGATGCAAGCGCTGATGCATGATTATGGCGCTCATGCACGAGAATGATGATGATGTTCGATGATGGAACTGATGTACGATGATGGTGCTGGTGTACGATAATGGTGCTGGTGTACGATAATGGTGCTGGTGTACGATAATGGTGCTGGTGTACGATAATGATGCTGGTGNTACGATAATGGTGCTGGTGTAAGATAATGGGGCTGATTTACGATAATGGTGCTGGTGTAAGATAATGGGGCTGATTTACGATAATGGTGCTGTCCGTGCTGATGCAAGACAATGGCGCCTATGAGCGATAAAAACACCGATGCATGAAAATAACGCTGATGCAACGATAATTTAGTCGACCAAAGCAGTAGTATGATGCACGAAAGTGTCGCCGATGTACGTTCATGGCCCTTATGCACGCTACCGACGCCGATGCCTACGATGGCATCACCATGCATGAAGAGAGGCGTAAAGCGCTTGGCTAGTTGCCGCTGCGTGCGCGCGATATAGGTCGATGGTTGGGCGCGTCAAGTCCAAGGTACGAACAAGGCAAGATGAAGCCTTGCGCAACGAAAATATTGAGCCCAAGACGAACAGTGCCAAAATCTATGTAGTCATGTTTGATTGGAACCTGCGCCTGCTAAAGTCCAACACCGCTTGGGATGGTACGCGGTCGCAGCCTCAGGCAAGCAACGGCAATTCAAGGTCCGAAGGAAATGTATCGTAGAATGAACGCGGTCCCCCAGTTATAAGTGGCGTAAGCAAAAATCAATTATTGCTGAATCTGCAAGACAGGACAGTCGGGTAAGGAAATCTCACGCTATCCTGGTGACGTGGTTTGCTTATATTAAGATTCTTCAGATTCTCAATAGCGAATTTGTTTACTATATACGATAGTGACCATAAGCAGTATTAGATTTTGATTGAAGTTGTAAGTTTTCGACGCGGAAAAAATTTTGTTTAGCCTTCATCAGTAATTTAAACAAAGCTAATAAGTAATTTGCAATTCAATATAATGCCAAAATTGTATTGAACTTGGCAGCCCAAAATTCCTATAAACGTAACGTTTACTCATGGATAAGTGAATCTCCGCATAAGGAATGTGAGGTATAGTATAATATTATTTTAGTGAGGTAGAATATTGGTCGGCGTAGCCTTGCCGTTTGCATATTTCCGTACCCTCAAATGAGTTTTTTTCTAGAACACGACGACAGTCGGCGATCAACATGCCGGTAGTCGCCTATAAATAAGATAAGGTGGCCACAAACTTCATTATTGGGCGGCCATGCCAATAAGATAGAAGGTAACGAACATAAACGTAACAAAACGATGGTCCAATTGAGGCCCGTCTCCCGTTACGTTGGCGCCAAGTTGATGATTCATGCACAATTGGAATCAGTCTATGATGAATTAACTTTGCATGCACGCAACTCATCAATAGTAAGCTCTACTTTACTTGCAGTCAGAAATACGATCCATTAAAAGTTGGAATTTATCTTCGTTTCGACGTATTCGGATATTTTCAGCAAAAGCAATAAGGATAAATGAGTCATCACATTAACTGCGCAGTACGTAAAATTAAAGACACACTAACTGCAAAAATGAATATTTTCGATAGAAGAAAAGAGCAATAGTAGCGACTAAACACTCGCACGGAAAATGAAGCGTCCGCAAATAAGCTAGCTAACAGCCTAAGCTGGAATGCCACGCACTTGCCTATTACGACACCGTTAGGTAGAAGCGAAATTATGGGAATTGCGATGCACGAGTAGGTTTATTTATGTTCTTAGTCGCCACATTATCATTCCCACGTGAACTATAAGCCGAAATTCCAGTAGCCACGCTTTGAAATAAATTCGGTGTCTCGAAATAATACGTTTACGAAGATCTAGACGTCAGTCGGGCAGTGAAGTTAAAGGGATATAAATGACCTCATGCAGCATCCTGCACTCAATGAGTGCGCACGAACAATGACAATGTCGTTATCAAGACAGGATGACCGTCCCGCTCAAGATCTGGCGACAGCACCACGCCAACAATCATGCAATGAAAAGCTTTGCAATTATAGACTTGAAACAGACTCGTATCAATGAGCAAACGCATTTAAGGGAGAAAGAAACTTTTATAATTACCACCAACATATGGCAGGAGCATCGCAAGAAAAGCCATGCAGCTTCAATGAGTTCACTACAAAAGCTCATTAGTTCTAAGAGAATATATTGCTGATAGTTTTGTCATCAGCGTGGCTGTACACGGCATAAACAAGCCTAATTAATTTATCATAAGGCCCTTAAACCTGACTCCGTCGAACGCACATTCTTTGTTATTGTTTTCAATGTAGACACATGCGCTCTGGGCCCGAGACGTAGATACTGTATACGTAAAGCCAGGCGCTTTGTTCTCTGAATTTTTGTACGCATCACCTGTATAGCCAACAACAGCATCGAATATCATCAAAATTATTACAACGCTTGCGTCAATATAATTTACATGGCAAAATCGGACACACGCTCATGTAAGCAGTTGTAGACTTCGCGTTACTTTGTATAATCACAGCTAGTGCTTAATAAGTGAAGGCTGGGCACCTACTTCTCTTCAGAACAAAATACAAGGGCTATTTAGTATCAAGAGCATTTAAATGCAGACAATATTAATGAGAGAAAAAAAGGGTTTTAGGCCGCGTTTTTTACAAGCTAAATATCGGGCGACGGCCCGAAGCTCTTGCAGGGTCGGTCCTACAACGGGCAATAATTGCGCTGTGCGTCACACAAGAAGGATAAACAAAACACTTAAAAGAATATTCAACATTATGAACAATGCACTAATAACAAAACGCAACAAAAAATACGTAGGTATATATGGTGAATTGCAATCGATCTAGAATAAAAAGTCGGCATTTTTGTAGGAATGCTAGTTATTTAAAAGGGGGAGATATCATATCGGAAAAAATATTTGTCGAGTTCCGTGTCCAGGATTGATTCCAACAGTTGCATATGTTTTATTTTATTTTTTATATACAACAGAAACATTTATCGGTCTGTTAATTCGTAAATTTTGTTTTAAATATTAGAAAAAAGAACTGAAAAATATATCATTCTGTTGAACGATATACTTCATTTGTATTCGTAGAATGTACAAGAGAAGCATCCATCAATCTGGCATGTTTAGTTCTACGTTTTTATGCTTAGAATGTAAACACGTGGGGCGGGCGCAGAGAGTTTGCAGACGTGGAAGGAAAAACAGGCTCAAGGACTCGACAGCGTCGTGCCGACTGTGATTTACCTTTAATAAATAAACTGGATCTTGGGGCGGCTCCAATTAGGCTGGTAATTATGAATAAGGCGATCGTAAATAGCGTAGGTCAAATACGCAGCACTCTCAAGCGTAAACAAATACAGACATTAATCGTGATGAAAGGAGGAACAGTCAGCGCAATTCTACCGCTTCATCAAATCATCGTACATGGATCTCATTATTGTAGGCCTAATTTTAACAAGATTATAGAAAATATGAGTTTCTATGCAAGTTGTTTCTACACTAAGTATTATTATTTATATATTTGTTGACAAATGGCTAAACGAATAACTTAACTCAATGATTACATAGTAAGCTTCAAACGATGCACTTCAGGTTTTAAGACAACACGTGGAGCTTGCATGCCTGTAAAAACAGCTTCACCATAACCTTATAGTCTCTACGGGAATTCACCTGTCCAAAAAAATTTATTCCCCAAAGACGATATGTGCAACTCTAAACACACGTGAAGGTCATGTAGTGAAGGTCACATTTACTACGCAGAAATGCAATGTCTTCGCAACACAAAGCCTTTAGCAATGCAGACAGTATTTAACACTTCCTTGAAGTATAAAAATCAAATGAACTGAATTTATCGATATTATACGCTTTCTTACAAGGAGCTATGAAAATATTTCAGCGTCTTTCGATACCAAATGTTTCAAGTTAACAACGCTCTGAGGCCGGCAAGTCTAAGCTTGACAAAAATGAATGCACGTGGAAGTGCCGATCCATATATAAAATATTTCTTTTCAATTATATCAGGTTTAGCAATCGACATTTATGAAACCGCTCAGGACTGAAAGCCTGTCATATTATTCAAATCTTGATTTGCAACTTTAATTTGAAGTGGATTGCAAAATTCGACACCTTTCTAGAAGCATCTAGATCATCATTATTGTAGCGATAATTATGATTCTTACTTCATCATAATTGCGAACATGCATTATTTGGCACCTTTTTAGGAGAGACATCAACCTTACTATAGCGTTATTTCTGAATCTTACTTTAATTATACATGGTGTGCTCTGTTATTTACTCGTAAATGAATCCACAGATTGTCAAAATTCTTGAGTGTGCCGAGAGCAGAGCACTCGCATGACAATGAGACAAACGTTGATCTGGAGCTGAGGCGCATGACTTAGCTAAGCTCCTTGCAGCGCATGACTTATGAGCACCTATAGCTCCTTGCAGCGCATGACTTATGAGCAGCTAAGCTCCTTGCAGCGCATGACTTAT